CAGGACAGACATTAAGGAATTGTCTTTCTTATGAAAGTCCCTGAGTGCAGCTGAAGTGCAGGCTGTCGACTCATCGGATCACATTCACAGTTGTACTCACAGCTTAAAGAGAGGTAGGAGGAAAGGAAGAGAGAGGCAGACTTAAATATAGAAAGAGTTGGTAAAACTAGGTTTAATTAAAATGAGTTAAACTGAAATATGTAACTGAAATAGCTTGAGGCGATGGCGAGTAGTCCAGGATTCAGCTCTGTATCAGCTCTCTCTCTCTCGTTCACTTTCGCTTTATAAATGTATATATATATATGTAGAGAGAGAGCTGACACAGAGCTGAATCCTAGGCTAAAAATATCCCTCTCTTTTTTTTTCTTCCCCTTCATCCATACATCCCATCCAGTTGAAGTGGGGTTGATGAGCCTGACTGTGTGTGTGGGGGGGGAGGTGGGGGGGGTGTATGTGTGTGTGATAAGCAGGGAGACCCAGTGAGCCGCTCTGATCAGCTATTTCCCCCCGAGATAATACAGACCTGAGAGAGAAAGAGGGCAGAATGGGAAGATAGAAGAGAGGGAGAGAGACGGAGAGAGAGAGAAAGGAGCAAGAGTGGGAGAGACAGAAAGGAGAGAGGAAAGGAAAGAGAGAAAAGAAAGAGAGAGAGAAGGACAGAGAGAGTAAGGGGCAAGAGATGGGGAAAGAGAGCGAGACAGAGAAGCAAGAGGGGAGAGAGAGAAGGGAGCAGAGACAGAAAAGAGAGGGAGAGAGATAGAAGGGAGTGAAGGGGAGAGAGACAGAAAAAAAGGAGAGAGAGAGAAGTATTGCTGTGGTTTGCATGAAATAAATCAATTAAAATAAATCAGTAAATGAACAGCTTAAACCTGCTGTAAATTAGTTTCTACAGTCAGTGGGGAGTGTTATTGCGATAACTCCGTTAACCGCCGGGCACAGGCCCACACCTAACACCTGGGGTGCTTTAACCTACTCGTGGGCCTTGGGGCTGCAGGTGGATGTGGGCCCTATGGGTCTAGTTACACACAGAGTCCAAAAAATTAAAACCTTTTTTCAATGAAGGTGCACACACTGTCAGCGACTTCCAGTACTGCCATTCATCATCTTTCCATTACTGTACAAACTTAAAGCTGAAATGGGCTTTTTATCCACCTTCACATTTTCCATTCTGCCTTAATTAGTGCTGCAGTTGCGTTCTGGAGCCTGTGACTGCTGCACCATTTAAGATGGGATGGAAAATTCTAATAAGAAGCTGGCAAATAGGATGCCAGCTTCAGCCTCACCAAACTTAAGCCCAGAAACAAACCTTTAAAAGCTATAGTCAGTGGAGGTTTGAAGCTCTGAACTTGAGATGGACTTCAACTTGAGCTCGCATGTACTAGCTGTTCTCTGTCCAGTCTGTGGACGCTTCTCCAGCACGGTGTGGTACAGTTTACTTAGTAAAATCATCAACATCACCAAAACAGCTGAGGTCTGTGACAAGCCGTAGTCTTTCATTTGATGTGGTGGCGTAGGCAGTAATAACTATTGAGTAGACCTGTGAAAAATGGGTAGGCCAACGTGGTAGACACAAGACCCAAAGAAGACATGAGTGAGATAAAATCAGACATGGGAGATGCGCAAAGATGAGGAAAAACAACACAGCAAACTTTAAAACCTGAGTATCGTAGGTAAAACATATTGCATTAAAACGTTTATAATCCATTCATGTCTTACCTTTTATGCATTGAAGTAACGATGTTTGCTTTGACATTTTCACAGAGCCCATTTCAGCCTTTTTAGGTGCCAAATTCGCAGAAAACTGACGATGGCAGAAATCTTCATAGTCTACGGAACAGAATCTCACTTTTACACATACTCAGTTCTATTTTTTAACCACAACTGGAGGTTTAGATTAAAAACGCTGGTGTACTGATAATGAACTGAGCTTGAGGCGATGGCGAGTAGAAACAGTTGCTGTGCAGTGATTGGAGGGAAAAGAAGGTGGAGTTTGGCTGAGAGCGTCATAATTAGATTGGCCATAAAAGTGTCAGCACTCAAACAAAACAAATCAAATGTCATTATTCTAAAAACAAACAAATATTAGTTCCACATTTGATTGGGTAGGCCTGTTATAAATCGGGAAGGAACAAATAAATCTCATTTAAAAACAGCCAATCATAGGCCCCCTACTGTAACTGACTTGTGGTGTAATTTGAGACTTCATGACTTGAATCATTTCCTAAAGAAACATAATCAGATTCATAGTCAGTTCATAGTCAGTAATTTACATCTGTCGTGACTAACGGTGATCGTTCTTTCTCTCTGTGCCGTTCCTGAGTGAGGCGTGAATGTAAATGCTCATAGGCCAGAGTTGCTGAGAACAGCTGTGCAAACCACCACACCAACACATGCGCTCACTGAGTGAAGAACATTCTGCCACTGTTAGCAAACAAATGCCTAGAGTGAGATACACACACCCACACATACACGCTAAAGCAGTAATCTTTCCCTGGGGCCAAACTAAACGCTCCCCCTGAGGGAACCAGTCCAGAATTTAACTTCTGACGTTAGAAAAACTCAGAGTTTCACAGCCTCACTGCCGAAAGAAAACTAAACAACAGTCAAATACAGCTGTTTTTCCTATAAGACTAAAGGATAACAAGAGTTCCTGATTGTTTCTGCTAGTAAAGTAAGTAGAACAGTAGTAAAGTAGTGCTAGTTAATAAAGTTATCCATTAATATCCATTATTGTCCACACTGAAAAAAATATGCATTGATTCAAATGTGTACATCATTTCCACTTGAATGAGAGATTCAGTTACTTCCAGAAGTAAAATACTGGTCAAACGTCAGAGATCCCCTTTTCGTTTATTCATCTTCCACTCAAACAGCAATTACATACATTATTCATTTAGTGTCAAATAAGTTGACAAGTGCAAATATTTGCTTCAGATCTGAAAAAATCTACAGGCGTTTCTGTCCATCTTTCCACTGTGAGAAGACAACTCAGGATGTCTAGCTGTCAAGAAGCCATTACTGAAGAAAATTGCACTAAAACATCAGAACTACAACCCCAGTTCCAAAAAAGCTGGAACACTGTGTAAAAAGTAAATAAATGTAAATGAAAACAGAATGCAATGATTTGTAAATCTCATAGACCCATATTTTATTCAGAATAGAACATAGAACACATATCAGATGTTGAAAATGAGACATTTTACCATTTCATGGAAAACATTGACTCATTTAGAACTTGATGGCAGCAATGCATCTCAAAAAAGTTGGGATGGGGCAACAAAAGGCTGGAAAAGTAAGTGGTACTAATAAAAACAGCTGAAGGAGCAATTTGCAACTAACTCACATGACTGGGTATAAGAAGAGACGTTGGTTATCCCACCATCTACAGTACATGATATTATCAAAAGATTTAGAGAATCTGGAGAAATCCCTGTACGCTATGGACAAGGCCAATGGTAAATATTGGATGCTCGTGATCTTCGGGCCCTCAGGCCACACTGCATTAAAAACAGTCATGATTCTGGAAATCACTGCATGGGCTCAGGAACACTTCCAGAACTCATTGTCTGTGAACACAGATTGCCGTGCAGTCCACAACTGAAGTTAAAGCTGCATCATGCAAAGAAGAAGCCATGTTAACACAATCCAGAAACGCCGCCGTCTTCTCTGGGCCAAAGCCCATTTAAAATGGACTGAAGCAAAATGGAAAGTTGTTTTGTGGTCAGTTGAATCAAAATTTGAAATTCTTTTTGAAAACCATGGAATGTATTCATGTTTTGGCTTTTGACTTTGGACTGGCTGAGCTTGATTTTGGATCCTCCATTTGTTAATAAACGCATTTTACTTAAGTGTGGTCTGCGAGCGTCTGAATTCTGTCTGGTCCTGATTCACAGTACTGATAATAAACTGAAAGACAAAAATTGTGTTGATGTATTATATTTTATTTGAGTGGAAATGATAAACACATCTGAATGAAGTCGGTTGAGACGCATCACTCCTTTTCAGTGGAAACAATAAAAAAGTGAATTGTTGTTTTCTTTTGAAAACACTTTCATTTAAACTACAAAGAGGAAGTTGGAGCTGTGGCTTCTCTTTCTGCTCCGTCAGTGTCTCCTTTCTCTGTCCGTTTATCACCTTGAAGCTTCCGTCTGCTTCTCTCCGCTCTGAACAAGGGAGCATGACAGCTGCTCTGCAGACGGAGAAGTTCTACTAGTTTTATTATTGTGTTTAACCAATAATAAAGCAATGGTTCAAATTTTAAAGAGGAATGGCTTCAGAGCGCGCAATGGCACTGTAGCTAGATGCCTGTGAGAAAGTTGGGGGGTTTCAAAATTATAATTGTATATAATTAATTAATTAATGTTCAATTCCCACCTGCTAGCTAGGTTTCCCCTATGACACAGTGTTGCCACGTTGGGAGAGTAAAGGCGAGTATGAGCATGGTGAAATGCACTCTTAAAACAGATGGTTCTTTGATGGTTCTTTGGTTAAGAAAATAGTTCTGTTTAGAACCATGAACACCCAAAGAACCCTTTGCATGATTATAGGGTTCTTTGCATCATAAAAGCATTCTTCAGATTGATGTAGAATATGCATCTACAGCATGCTTTCCATCACTCTGAAGAAATCTTTTATGATGCAGAGAACTCTTTAATCATGCAAAGGGTTCTTGTGTGTTTATGGTTGTATATAGAACTGTTTTTTTTTACCAAAGAACCCTTAAAGACTTCTCATTTTTAAGGTGTGTTTCTTCAGATTGATGGAGAATGTGATGTATGTGGTTCTATATAGAACCTTTTTTAAAAAATAGCTCCAAAAAAGTGTTATTCTATTGTTACGATATCAAGCGTGTTGCAATAAAAGAACCCTTTATGGTGCTATATAGAATTATTTTCAAGGATTAAAGCATAGCCGTTTTATGCCAACAATCAATCTCTCTCTCTCTCTCTCTCTCTCTCTCTCTCTCTCTCTCCCTCTCTCCCTCTCTCCCTCTCCCTCAGCTCTTCTCATTGGTGATATTTGGGTGCATAGCTAATGAAGGCTACGTGAACAGGCCTGATGAGGTGGTTGAGTACTGCGTCTACAACCGAAACCAGAATGCCTGCAACTACGCTGTTGGCATGGGAACGCTGGCCTTCCTCAGTTGCATGGCCTTCCTGGCTCTGGACGTCTACTTCCCCCAGATCAGCAGTGTGAAGGACCGCAAGAAAGCCGTGCTGGCCGACGTCGGGGTGTCAGGTGAGAGGGTTTGTGAGAATTTTGTGATAAACCTACAGGGAAATTCATTCACTGTTGAAAGTCTAGTCTTCTATTTCTTACTGTGAGAGAGAACAAAGGAGAACATTAGGCTGAACAATTAATTGTTCAATTTTAATTAGCAAAATCTGCCATTTTAATTATATCTTACATTATTAAATGTTGTCTTCGGCCAGGAAATTTAACCCAGTAACGCAGAGCTTGTGAACTGGCAGTCTGGAACACAAAACAAATCATGCTGATCCCCTTGGTGAACAAAAGAAGGCCTGGAGATGAAGTTATAGAATTAATCACACTTAAATCACAATCACAATACTGGTCAGAAAAATTATAATTAGATATTTTTCTCAAATTGTTAAGGACATATATACCTTGAAGTTTCTTTTCTTACTATTTGTTTATTTATTTCTTACTTACACCGTTTGAAAGTCTGTTGAATATGTTGATGGTAAACGTTTATTGACAGCACACCTGCCACGTTTTTCTTGACATAAAACATTAAAAAATGTCTGACGTAATGTAATGCAATGTACTTACTAATGTAATAACTAATAATGTACATAATTATGTTTGAAGAGTGTAGCAAAACACCCTGCCTTCTACGACTTCAGTTAAAAATGATTTCTTTGTCTTTGTGTAACGGGAGGTGCATTGGTTGATAGTTCCCTGATCAACTAGCTTTCAATATTCGCAACCAAATCTGGTTCACCATTGAAAATCTTGCTTAGTCACTGTTGTAATAAGTTGGTTTACCCAGTAGGTCTGTCATCCAGACTTGGCGCTGCTGGATCAATCTGCTGGTTGTGTTACATGCCAAACTTAGCACCGATAGAGTTAAATGTCTAAGCTCTAATGAGTTGCCAGTGTGTAGTGTTACTGAGGCTTAAGAAGGGCTGTCATTATCAATTCTATTAGTAATGAAGTACTTCATAACTTATGTTGATGAGTAAATGATTTGTAAACAAAAGCCCAAAAGACAAAATTGAGTAAAAGGGGAATTCCAGTGATTTTTCAACATTTCTACATAATTAAAATGTTAATATGTAAACAAAGTCATTCAGAGCAGTTAGGTATGAAATGCTCTGTTCTAGAGAAACTTACAGAGTCAGAATTGTTCACAGTGGTGGTGACAGGAACCAGACGTCTGAAGAGTTGAATGCCTAATTAGTGCCACACTAACAAACTCATGTACCCCCAGCTGTCAGTGCCACACTAATAGACAATGAATAAATAAATTTCTTTTAAAAACCACAGTGCAAAACATTATTATAAAAGATGAACTATTTAAATTATTTCTTCTAGTTAAGTGAATATGTTTCGCATGCATACCCAGATACACACAGCGGGGCCCCTCTCTCTCTCTCTCTCTCCCTATCTCTCTCTCTGACATTATTCTCGCTATATTTCCATTGCTTCACTAGCTTTTCTGGGTGGTTTTGGCTTGAATTTGTGCTTTTGCTAGTGACGGACAATACTGCAGTGAAAGCTGGCCACTTGGGCACAGCCGTGAAATATTACGGGGGCTTGCAGTAAACTGTAGAGAACAATAGCCATTTATGAGCTGTATTGTTATTGTTAGCCGTAACAAATGCACACACTACACACAATGTGCCATTTTACACAGAATGGAGTTGACAAATTAATTAGAGTAGCTAAAAAGGGCAACACTGAAGAAAAGCTTTAAAAACAAGCTTAATGTTGTTCATCTTTAGCTTAGATTCAAATGTATTCACTTAGATTAGGTTCCAGTCTCTAGCCCTTTTTATTAGCTTAAGTACATCCACTATTCATGCCTTGTATTTCAATGATGTTTTGGCTTTCAGAGGAGTAAATAAATGGACGCCGTAATGGCATTTAAAATAATCAGTATCAATATTTCATAGTAGCTCTTCTTGACCTTCAGGGCTGGCTGTAATATAATGTGATGTAATGTGCTCCCTCTCTCACTGTCCCTCTCTCTCTCTCTCTCTCTCTCTCTTTCTCTCTCTCTCTCTCTCTCTCTCTAGCATTCTGGTCCTTCGTGTGGTTTGTGGGCTTCTGTTTCTTGGCCAATCAGTGGCAGGTGGCGAAGCTTGAAGATAATCCGCTAAAGGAAGGTGCTGATGCAGCTCGGGCAGCAATCACCTTCGCCTTCTTCTCCATCTTCACCTGGGTCTGTACCTCACGGATCTTTACAAGAAATAATACGTAAAGTATTCCTCTGTGTTTGCAGCCTGTGTGCAATGTGTGCAAGAGCTCTATTAGAATTTGGAACATTACATTAGTGATGGACAGCCCTAAATTAGTATCGCATTAATATTACATATAGTTAAAAATTTTGGGTAGTTTCAGTGTATTTGATGATATAGTGTATTTATAGATGTCAAAAAAAAAACAAAGATTAGATCAGTTGCTACTTCTAGGTAACCTGTAGGTGACCTATTTTTGTAGGTTAAATGTTGCTTATTATTGTGTAATGTCTCTTCCCAGTTAATGAAAACATATTAAACTACAAAAATATTTAATAAAATGAAATAAATTCACAAATTAAAATATTTGAAAATGAAAAGCCATTTAAATAACTAGTACTTTTACCCGCTTTTATGAAGCCATCCACTTCCGTGCATCAGTTTTTGTCATTCTGACTGGAAACAAAGTGTCAAGTGAAATGCCTGCACGTCACAAAGAAACAGTGATTCATGTTTAGTTGCACTGATATCTCAGCAGTAGTCAGAGGTGGAGCTGTCAAGATTCTGTATTACAGATCTACAATTTGAGGCAGTATTGTTGTTTTTTATTGCCCAGTGGAGTCTAAATGCAATTCCTACTTCTCTAGATGTTTCATCCACCGCCCCCACCCGTCATCGAGAGGAAAAAACACTTAGCTAGCTCAGAGACCATCCCTGATACCGTGTTTCACTTGTCACATTATGGAAGAGATATGTATAATGATTTCCTATTTTTTTTTACTCTCTGGTTATTGTGGTTTCCAACAAGTTCCCAGTTTCATCGTGGATTGTGGTCCCTGCAGCCGTCTTTAAAAGTTTTGATACATCATTTTTCTGTGGATTTTGAGTTGTTGTACAAGCCTGTATGTTTCACATTGAACAGGTCACACCAAAACAGCGGTCTGTGGTTGTTCATCGTGCATGTCAGTAGAGGTGGCGATATATAGCAAAAATGTAACATCACATACATGAAGTTTTCATGATGCACTATGTATCACAATATATATTTTGGGAAAGAAAAAGAATTGCCAAGAACTGCCAAGTTTAAAAACCCTTAAAAACCAATAAATACAATGATCTACATTTAACATTTCACAGCTTGTGTTGCTCTAAATTCAATTAAACAGGACTAATAATGCTCTCTAATCAAACATGTAGTTGGTAAGTGTTTTTAGGACTGACGATTTCTATGATATGCTGAGAAAAGCATATTGTGGCATATTGTGACATGTTTATTGTTATCATGATTAATTATCATCGGGCTCTTGTGTGGTGCAGTCCTCTAAGTGTTGGCCCTATGATTGAGTTCAATCACTGGTGATGCTACAGCCATCTGTGGCTGGAAGTCCAAAAGCACCCTCCTAGCGCTGGTAGTATTGTGTAATTGGGGGAGTCCTAACTAGTGAGTGAAATTGGATATGACAAAATTGGGAAAAATAAACAATAAATAGTGGTAGAGATGGGTGGTATGGCAAATTATAATATCACAATACATGATGTGTCATGTTGTATTGTTTTTATTCTGACATCTGATAAGTTGACATCAGAGAAAATAGTGCCACTTTTTAATCCATTTACTTATACACTGTCCTGCACTAAATCCATTAAACAAGACTAATAATGCTCTCTTTTAAATCAAACATGCAGTTGGGAAGTGCTTTTTAAGTACTGACTGTATCCACAATGTGCTCAGAAAAAGCATATTGTGACATAATTTGTCACAGTAATAATAAATATTGTCACATTGTCCAGCTCTAGCCAGAAATCTGGCTTGCATGCAGGGCTGCACTGAATATTCACTAAAATCTGGTATTTAGTTAAAGTTAGTTAAGTTTTTAGTTAAAATATTTAAAAAATGGTAAAATCATTCAAATAACAGTCTTAGTGTTTAGAGCTCTAATCTGAATAGAAAACATTAATCTTAATGCTGAGAATAATCCAAATGTCTTTTCTTCTGCTCTGCATACTGCAGCAGTATTTACTGTACTGAAATTACATGAGATTATGTTAACTAGCTGGCCGGCTAGAGCAATAAGAAATTTACTCAGACCTCACTTAGAGTGAAGATACTACTGAGTTTAGCGCTTGCTCAGGTAGAAAATAGTTTTGAAGCAGCATTAACTCCTGTTTAAAAGGGGCTATGTGTGGCAATATGTGTTTTCCATCAGTATATGTGCATGTGTGTATGTTTTTCAGGGTGCCCTTGCATGGTTCTCTTTGGAAAGGCTAAAGAAAGTGTCTTTTGAAGAGGAATACAACAAACTGTTCCCTCCCCAGCCCTCATATAACATCCTGCCACACTGAAACACTCACATACACAAGCACAGCCTTCTTCCAGTCTTTGCATTCAACCCTCTTAAGTGCCAGACTATGCCTACTGTGCTTTAGCAGTGGAGGCTTTTTACTCTCTGAGCCAAAGCAGGCCCCGGCGACAGCATTTATATTCATTTTAACCATTTTTGCTACAATTTTAGAATGCTGAACTTTGAGTAGTATATTGTAGTTATTTCAATTTTTTAGTTTTCAGTCATGTAATCATGAATATATTCAATCAGTACAAACAAAGCCAAATTGTTACAAAGGGTATGTTTAATATGGTTTCAGGCTGTTTACTTTCATGTTACTTCATATATCGCTGCTGTCGGAACAAAACCTTGTATCTCCACAATGGTAACTTTATAGGAGAAGGAAAAAACATACTTTACTTTCAATATAAGTCAATGGAACCAGCCTTTTTTCAAGTCATTTTAGGCTGTTTCTTTTGGTATATTCGTCATGAAATTACACATGATATAAAGTTAAACAGGCATTTTCAAAGTATGTGAAAAACTGAAAAACGAATTTGGAAAAACTAAAAATTGAGATACAGGGTTTTGTTCCAACAGCAGTGATATACACGTTTCTGCCTGGCCCCACCTGTCAGTAATTATGCTTTCAGGCCCTTTATTTCATATACATGTTTATGTCTCACCTCAATTATCATTCAGGGTCATTTCAGGCCATTTACTTTCATGTTTATGCCAAGCCGCACCTCTCAGTTCCACAGTCCATATGGGACACTTTGTATTATGTCTGTGCATTAATACAGAATTCAGTAGATGAGTACACTCATAAGTATGCATCTATTAAACATTTTACAGTCACTTAGAATGTGGCTCAGTCAATCAAATTTTAGTTGAACTTTCTGTTCTACAGTTGATATTGATATCACCGATGTTGAAAATTGATATTTTTTGCGTCTTTGACTTTAGGCTTGTTATCTAAGGATGAACCGCTGACTAATAATGGACCGTTATTAGCCAAAAGAATTTGCATCCATTTACATGTCGTTTGACAAGCGGTCCATGATCACATTAAGACGTATCATCTGAATTTGGCCCAGTTGTTGTGTGATCATGATTGTGGAGAGTTGTTTCTAAATATTTGGGTGCCCTCAGTAACATCCTAGATGGAGACCCCTCCCCAGTGACCTCAGTAACATTATTTTGTAAGCAAGAGTAAAAAATATTTAATATGTCATTAATTTTTACTGGGAAAAAAGTTGCTAAATCCAAAATAATCAGAAAAAAACTATTGAGTTATTAAGGTTAAATTCATTCTTTAAAGTTAACTGTCTCTATAAGTACAATAATGAAATTTATACATAAAATGAAATAAATAATGTAAGATATATTTTTGCCAAGGTCATAATTGACATGAAAAACAAACAAACAAATACATAAATGAGCACCATGTGACCAACTTGAGTGGATGATAGCAGGAGTATTTTCAGGTAGATTTTAACAATTATAAGAGTTTACTGTTGTTGTTAAACCTTTTAATTTATGTTTATTTGTTTCTATTTATATTAGACTTATGGTCAGGTCAAAAATGCCTTTTAACTTGCTCGCATTGCTATGCATTAACTACTTTACTAATTATGTTCTAACCTCTCTCTGTCTCTCTCTCTCTCTCTCTGTATGTGTCTCTCTCATTCTTACCAAATCCTCTTTTAAATTGCTGTTGTTTTAAATCTTTGTATTATTCAAACTTTCTCTTGTGTTTCTTTAATGGATTGTGGGTTTAAATCCACCATTATTGTTAATTTGACATTCAACATCCGATTAATTGAACCCAACTCCATCGTTCTTTATTTTCCTTTGCTTTTGACTACAATCGTGTTGCTTTTTATCTTCATTAACTGTGTTCTGCTGCATCTGCATGGTTTCCCACTTCACACCCCCCCTGCAAAAAACCCGACCCCTCTTGGTTCTGCTGTTCCTCGCTGCTGTGGTCAGGCCGGGCAGGCGTTCCTGGCCTTTCAGAGGTATAAGCTGGGGGCGGATTCGGCCCTGTTCTCGCAGGACTACACTGACCCCAGCCAGGATGCTGCAGCTGCCCCCTATAGCGCTTTCACCAGCGGAGACGACCTGGAGAGCCCAGGGGGGACCGGATCATACCAGCAGCCCAGCGGCGATGGAGCGTTCGACGGGTCTGCAGGGTACCAGCGCCAAGAGTACTAAAGCCAGTCTGGAGGAGGGGCGGAGTTTGGTTAGTACAGGGTTGTGGAGGGTCAAAAGGAGACTTGCAGGCTCACCAGATATTTTACAGCAAACGCAACATACACTACCATTCAAAAGCTTAGAAACACTACTCTTATTTTATTAATTGTTGTTATTTTATTCAGTAATAATTTAACATTTTTTAGATGTTTAAGCAATATTTCATGTTTGTATTTTTTATTTATTTACTTTCATTTTTTTGGGACATTTAAAGGTCTATTTATAATAACAAAAATATGTAATATTGTAAATATATTCAGGGCTGTTGCTTAGGGCCCCTGAGTCAGAAGGAAATGTGTGATATGATGTCTAATATTGTGATGAATATTTTTAAATATCCATCACAATATTAGCAAATATGTTAAGGAACACATCATTCATAATTTTCACAATATAAAAAATGACCCACATGCAAAATGGGAGCCACATTCTACTTAAACACACATTGTTTATGTCTTGATAGAAATTAATTAAAGGGACATTCTGATCTAAAACTGGCATTTAATATGTTATTTAGTTTTAACTAGTGCTTTGAAGTCCAGCATCGCATAGCTGCAACAGTTTAACAGAAGTGACGATTTTGTATTTTTTCATGTTTTCATCCATCAGTGTTCTCCCCTAAGAGGCTAATAAATACATATGTGGCGCTAGCTAGGATTAACCTCAGTTTGTTGTCCAATTTTTTCTCTGATAAAGGAATAACATATAAACAATTAGCTAGTTGGCAAACAGCCCTCTCCTAATTATTTACCCCAGGGCACTTGTAGTGTTACAAAATTTGCTTCCACCTTCAAAATACATCATCAGAAGGGGTTATCCTAGCCTTTAAATCAGCAGATCTCACTTTAGAGACTATTGTGGCACCACAGACAGAGGCAAGGAGACATGTTTACAACAGGTGTAAAACAGATGGTTAATTTCCTTAATTTGGGAGGACTGTCCCTTTGAGTATTAAGTATTCTTTTTTCTTTCTGGCACAGTAATATAATCGGGGTGTGGGGACCCTCCAACTATGATGTCGCTTAAAATCCACAAATGTTCAGAAACGGCCCTGTATATGTTTATAAAATATTTATAAGGCTTTATACAGCTATATTATTATTAAATATGATTCTAAGCTTTTGAATGTTGTTTCTAAACTTTTGAATGGTAGTGTGTGTGGCAGGTTTAGGACACGTTCAGCTATCCAGACTGGTTTATTTGGATTATCAGTTCTTTTTCTGACCATTTGAAAGCCAATGTGGGAACTGTAGTGTAGGATGGGCTTCTGTTAAGGTTGGGGGGGATGGACGGATAGTACAGTATTGGGTGAGGTTAGCTCAGTGCTCATGATCATACCAGTTTGCCTTCAACTCCAGTGGTTTGATTTTACTTGATCACTTGCTAACAGTTAATCTGCTTACTTAGAATCAGTGGGTGCATTTGGGCACTGCAGACATCTTGTATTTTCTGCATGCATAATGAATATACAGTGCTGTGCAAAAGTCAGAGACCACCCTTCATTAATTTCATTTGCTGATAAAAAAAAAGCCACAAGTTATTCATTTTTTAGATAATCTATTTGCACATGGAAGAGGGCAATTAAAGGAAAAATCTGTGAAGTTTTGAGAAAATGTAACTTCTAACAACTGTGCAAGACCTGGTAGACCACCAAAACTGTATCCAGTAGATCAACAGGACATTCTTCCACTGTGAGAAGACAACTCAGCACTAAGGGTCTGAAAGGATATGTAGAGTCAAGAAGCCTCACTGAGAAAAGGAGACAGACAAATCAAACAAAGAAGCAGCTGGCCGTCTCAGAACAATGGACTGACCACCTCACAGTCCAGACCTCAACATCAGTGAATGTGTTTGGGATTATTTGGATTATGAGTAGCAGAAAATGCAACTTCTAAGACTGAACTTTGGAGTGAGTCTGAAAAGAATGGAGGCTGCAATAAAGGCTAAGGGTGGACACACTAAATACTGAATAAATGATATTTAGTTGTTAAGGCAATATATTTTCTGTTGAATATATGTTTTTCTGACTTTTTCTGAGGCTGAAATGTTAATAACATACATAATGGCTGTGTTGACTTTAAAATAGATGGATGGGTGGTGTTTGGTTTTTGCACTGTGCTGCATATGGATGTTGGTATTTGGATATTACTAAGATACGAATTCTCTCATTTTGGTCTTGGAAGCTACCTGTACATTGGTACATTGGTCATATATAATGGAAAAACACTGCCGGTTAGGACATGTCTGATCACAGTGCCTCAGTCTGCACTCTCATCAACCATAGAAATGGTGTACATGTCGTTTGTCTGTATGTCTCTGTGTCTCTTTATCTGTCCATTGGGTCAGGAGTGAGTGAGTGATGGTGAGGTGTTGGATGGTTTTACATGCTAGCTGTTGATACTAGTTTATTGCAACATAGTCATATGGCTAGGCAATCATGCAGCTTTGGAAAAGAATTGCGATTATGTAACATAAAGACAATGTAATAACTGTGACGGGCCTACTGAGACCCATGTCAGCCAAAAAAGCACTGTTAAAATAAAAATAATGGGGTATTTGGGCCCATCTAAAATTTGGCTGATATTATCAGTTATTGAAATTTTTAGCTGTTTAAAATCGGTATCACTGATGAAGGTTTGCTGATGATATCAGTCAGTCCCTAACTTTCACATGGAGCAGTTATCAGAGGGTAGCAACTGTGGCCAGGCATTTCATTATCAGCTCTTCTTTCAGACTACAGAATCTGCTTCAGGATAGCTCCAGTGCTTCATAGCGATGAGTTACATTTATTTTTAAAAGTGGGACATAATGACAGCGGCATATGTGAATAATCATGAATCTGTACAAAGAATTATTTATTTAGTGAGTGCTAAGTATTTAAATCCTTATTTTCAGTGCTACTTGCGTTGGTGAGATGTGTTGGAGGATCCACAAAGCTGACTTTCCAGACACATTATTTGGGCTAAATTACATTGTCAGTGTGGATTTTCTATTGAAAGCCCATTTGTAGTCTTGTTTAATCTGTGTCTGAGGGAAACGGCCCATTGGGTTTAGTTATCAGGAGTTTCCTAATGTTTTGCTGCATCAATCAGTTCAATCAATTGTCATCATACACACAAAACTCCAACCGTATAAAAGCTCAATGTGTATATATAGATATGTAAATCTGTAATTGAATATAAAAGTTCAGAATTCAGTTTTATTTTAAAGCATTATGATCATTCTGTGAAATGTATGTATAATTTTGGTGCACTTGTATGTATGTGAACATTTTTTTCTTCAACATTTCTCTGAGTACTGGGAATACAGTTTTATTTTGGAATAATAATGACTGCAATTAAAATACAAAAGTTGGGAGACCAAACTATATAGCTATGTAGGACTGTGTGATCTTCTCTGTGTTAATCTAGCTGTAGCTACAGAAAATGAAAACCAGTTTACTGAGTGCTACTGTTTTTGATGTGATGGATTTTAATCTATACAGACACTGAGAAATAAATAAATAAATAACCAAAACGCTTCCTCCACTCATTTGTGGTGTGTTTTCTTGTATATCATGTTTATCTTGAGATATAAACAGCAGCTAGAGTTTTTGCAGGGACTCTTAAAGAAGAATTCCACTGATTTTTCAAACGTTCTGCATAATTAAATTGTTAAGCTGTAAACAAAGTAGAATTGTTCACAGTGGTCCTGATAGGAACCCGATGTCCCAAGTGTTTAAAGAAGCTCCCTCACAGAAAGTTATTACATGAAGTAGGTGTGGATACACTGCCTGATGTCTGAGACAATGTTTTAGAGCAGTTTTAAAATATGTTTTTGGCTTAAACTGTATATTTTAATCCATTCGTGGTGGAGGGGTACATGCAGGGTGTTGTGGAGCAAAATAGTCCCCAAAGAAAAAGGTATTTTTCAGATTTACCACTATTTTACCATCATCAACATTACTTATAAAAACTCAGCAGATGTGTGTAGGTTTACTGGTCATTTTGGATAGAAAATAAAATGACTATATTGGCGACCACTGGTTCCTATCACTGTCACTGTAAAGAAATCAGAGTTTGTAAGTTTCTCTACAATTAATCTTTTTCTATTAAACCACTCTGAATTCGTTTAAGGGCGGCATGGTGGCGCAGCGGGTAGCACTGTCGCCTCACAGCGAGAATGGCCTGGGATCGATTCCCGGCCGGGCGACCGGGGTCATTTCTGTGTGGAGTTTGCCTGTTCTCCCCGTGTCTGCGTCGGTTTCCTCCCACAGTCCAAAAACATGCAGTCAGGCTGATTGGACATGCTGAATTGCCCCTAGGTGTGAGTGAATGTGTATGTCTGCCCTGTGATGGACTGGCGACCTGTCCAGGGTGTATCCTGCCTTCTGCCCAATGACAGCTGGGATAGGCTCCAGCACCCCACCGCGACCCAGAAGGATAAGCGGTTTAGATGATGTATGTATGTATGTATGAATTCGTTTACGTCTCAACGATGGAATTATACATCAATTTAAAAAAATCTGTGGAGTTCCCCTTTAACATAAAGACTATGACATCATGAAACTTGTTAGGATAAACTGATATAAAGCTGTACATGAATATGAAATTCATAGAACAGGTTGACATCCATTCTTGTTTTTCATATTTGAAAAGAATAATAATTGATACAATTTTTGATTTCTCATATTTTTTAAAAACTTTCTTTGCTTTTAAAAATGATATAGCCTTTGTTTGCTTGATCATGGATACAAACATGCTCTCAATTATGCTCTAAAAGCACAGAGGGCCTCCAATGAGGCTCCTGTAATCAGAATCTGTGTTGATTTCATGATTGGCCACAAGATGGGGGTAAAATAAAAGATTTGCTTCACTTAACATGGACCAGAAGTATTTCTACCAAAGAAATTCTTTTAACTATACCGTTATCTGAACATAATTAGATATCTAAAATCTCCATTTCAAATCACTTAATTTTGGACTTTTTTCTTTTTCCTCCACTAGGGCAATTCCACCAATTTTTCGAAATGTCTGAATAATTCAGTCTTTCAGATGTAAACAAAGTCATTTTGAATGTTTTGACTTCTTTACAGTGTCCATGATAGGAACCAGGGGTCACAATGTCTACAACACACATATAGCCAGTGTACCTACGTGTGTCTTCTGAGTTTTATATGTAATGTTGATGATGGTAAAGTCATACATGTGAAAAAAAAAGAAGTTTTCTTTGGGGACTGTTTTGCCTCACAACACCCTGCATGTACCCCTCTGCTATGAATGGATTGAAATACATTTTAAGCCAAAACTTTGTCATAAAACAATGTGTCAGACATCAGGCAGCACTGTCATATGCATTTCATGTAATTGCTTTCTGTGAGGGAGCTTTGAGAGGTGAACATCTGATCACCACCACTGTGAGCAATCCTGACACTGCAAGTTTATCTAAAATGGAGCATTTCACACCAAACCACTTTGAATGACTTTGTTTACATCTCAACTTAATTATTTTCAACTCAATTTAATTTTTTGTTTCCTTTTAAGGCTTATCACCTTTTTTCACAGGCTGTATTTGTTAGTTTTTCTCATCTTAGTTGAAAACAAGTTGTTGATAATGTGGCTTGTAATGTGACAATAAACTGTTAAATAAAAACACACCTGGCGTTCTAAGCCCTAGCTAATTAAGCGTTGTAGTAGAAACACAATTGCGCGGATTGGAACGCAGCCGTATACTTACGTCACGACGTCTTTTGTCCCCTGCATAAGTGCATTACAATGTAGGGAACAGAGTGTAGGGCGCCATTTGGGACACGGACGGAAAGAAACTGAAACTCGCCCCCAAACGGCAAACATGGCGGCCCAGCGGAAGACTCTGATGCACAGTGTAAGACAACAAATAGGCGTTTTCGCCCTTTTCTCTTTGTGTAATTGTGTTTAGCAATAGTCTGATTCATAATTTGTCTTACTGCTTTGGCCTTTTTGACGCTGTCATCTACAGCTGCGTGAATTTCATCTTTATCAGTACATGGAAGCCCTTGTTTAGCTAGCCTGCTAGCTCCATAATGCATTTGCTAATCAGCGTTTAAAAGTTAAAAGAGGGCATAAATAACTAACTAGCGCTGAGTTTATAGTCAGATAGAGAGTATATGGACCCTGAGACATGTTATCTGCGTTTTACTAACCTAGCATGTTAGTAATAATGCCATGTGGGTAATGTTTCCAATGCTACAGCCTTCAGTGCTGAGCGTTAGCCAAGCTCCATCATTTCAAGTCATCATCATCATCATCATCATCATCACTGTATTTACGAAGTTAGCTGGCTAATTAGGCTAACTAGTAAAGTTAGCTAATGACAGTCCTAAAATGATGAAGCTAAGATGATTTCCAAGTTAATGATCATAAAGTTAGTCGCTATGTAATGCAGTCTTCCCTCTCCAGACCTCCTGTAAGGAGAGGAATTCGTGCTGAATTGAAAAGCAGTGACTACAGTGGGAAAATGTGAAACATTACATTACTGTTTCATAGTGACATAAATAGTCTTGCCCTGCCTTTAAGATGTAATAAAGGCACAGCTATATTGCTTTCTGCTGTGCAGTACCGTAAACAGATTTTCCTCGTTGAACTGCAACCCACACATAACATTATTTTTCCACAGGTGATCCGGAATAAGTGCCAAAATGAAAAGTAAAACCTCTGATACACTGTTTTCATGTCGCTTGACCGCTTTTTTTGTAATTCAGCTATATTTGCAACCAAAACAATGCAATTAATAGTGTTTTGTTTTCGGGTTTACCAGTTCCGCCTCTTCATGAATGCTAACAGAATGGCAAATATGCATTAAGCCACTTAAGCGCTCAGAAATGGATGATTTAATGTAATGAAAGTGTTTTAATTGATGCCAGTGCATTACATAAGGAAGTGTATTTGAATTAAGTTAATTCAACAGAAAGCAGAACACGAAAAAGCAGAGTTACAGTCAGCTGACTAGACACTGTTTAAAATTACTGAGCTGTTTGAGTTAACCTTACTTTCTGCAAAAGTGTGTATCACTGAAAATGAGAAAGTACCTAATACTCACTTATTATTTAGGCTAGAACTTTTACTTCATTTTGCTGAGGCAATAAGTTTGCATGATTTTTTGTAAGTCAACTAATTTAAGTTCACATTGTTGGCATGAGTTCCTCTCCATACTGTGCACTGCGCTGTTTAGCGTTTTCTTTGCTCTAACATGTAACGCAACTCATACTTATATTTGCCAAACTCTGCACAAGGTTGTAAAGGAGAAATGAAGTTAAGTGGTTTTAATGTTCTGCGTTGTCATATCTTTTTTTGCCTGGGGTCCTGATATGGTGTTGTGACGCTAATGTTGGTTAATTTTTACATTACAATTTTCCAGCCTCCTCTGGGTGTACATCACCACTCGAAAATGCCAGCTTTCATTCACACTGTGATCAAATTAGCTTGGAATTTCCTGTAACGTCCATTCAAAGTTAAGAACAATTTTTTTTCTCTTGTAAAGTCGCTGTTGTGGATGTTCAAGGTTTTGTCCAGACAGTGATAATTATATATCCGTTAGAATCGTTACTGCGCCTTTTAAGACTGAAATATGTAAATAGCCTTCGTTTTGATTGGCTGCCCTGTATTGTGCTCCTTATAACTTCTGCGTGGATGTACAGAACTAAACTGCTGTAAATCGAATAGGCAGGTGTATGTAAATGTGTTGGTTTTTGTGACATCACAAAACCAGTGAATTCAAAATGGGCCATTTTGCAGCTTAAGTTAGTGAATGGTACGTTTCGAAACCTTAACAGTGTTTGTGTACTGAGTTAAAGTCTTTTTTTAATGTTAAACTTTTTTCCCCCAAAAAGCACAGAAAGTTTTGTTTTCCATTACATGGGCCTTTTAATGTAGGAAAGAAAGACAGGAGGACAAAATATGCAAACAGAATAATGGATTATTTGAATCAATAATGCGCCTAAAATTGTGCTGAAGTAAAAGTGCTAATCATTAAAATGCATAAATAAACAAAATCAAAGCAGGAGCTGTTGTTACATTCCTGATATGAACAATCTTGACATGAATTCCTCAGTCAGGTATGAACAAGTATCATCCTATTATTTTTGCACACTTTTAACATGCTTATTGCTGCTAATGTGAACTGTTGGTGAAATACCAGATTAAACTGCCTAAACTATGTCTGTTTAATGATCTTATTAGGGCAAAAATACTGAGTGAGCAGAAAAAAAATTAAAAAATAGCCAAAAAACACTGAGCTGACAAAAGTAATTTTAAATAAATTTAAATATTCAGATGATACATCCACTGGATGTTTTCATATATCTGTTCCATCTTGAAGTGACTATTAATATTAAGGCTGTTTGCTCATTTACAGAGGAAACATGGAGGGAATGCTTCTGAGATACTTCAGAAGAAAGTCTCCTTAAGACTGACCACATATAACTGTGTACTTATCTGTGGTTTTAGCACCAGAGCTGGACAGATGACCTACCATTGTGTCAGCTGTGTGGGGTGGGAGCAGCCCCGAACTGTGTGTACGGCCCGGATGGCAAAAGCACCCTGAGCCACCCCAACGAGGACTGCCACTTCCGCTTCAGGTGAGCTCCACCATCACCTGCAGGGCAAATCTTTTACTAGCTGAAGCAGAAGTTACTACTTCCATTGCCTTTAAACACACAGCTATGCTGTCACACACTCTTAAAAAAGATGGTTCTTCAAGGGTTCTTTAGCAAAGAAAATGATTCTATAAGGAACCATGAACACAACTCTCTGAAAGACCCCTTTATTTATGCAAAGTGTTCTTTGAGTGTCTGTGGTTCTTTATTGGACCGTTTTCTTTACTAATGAACCCCTGAGGAACCATCTTTTGTGGAAAAAAGAGGAATCCACAGATTTTCAGAGGTTTTGCATAATTAGATTGTTCCGATGTAAACAAAGCTGTTCAGAGTGGTTTAATGTGAAATGGCTTGTTATGCAGAAACTTGCTGAGTCAGAATTGTTTGCAGTAGGAGAGCACAGAGAGTTTAAAGCTTCCTTCACAGAAAGTTGTTACATGAACTGATGCTCCACATGAACCACAATATTTTTATCTTGATAGTTCTGGTTATAATGGCACAGAATTAGAAATCTGAAAAAAATTCTTTGGGGACTATTTTGTCTTGCAACACTCTGCTTGTACCTCTCTGCTATGAATTGATACAAATTTATATGAATTGATACCTTTTTGGGCCAAAAGCTCATATCAAAACTATTGTAAACCAGGGTCTCACATATCAGCATATTTTAAACCAAATTATGTAATATCTTTCTGTAAGGGTGCTTTTAGAGGCTGTCGGGACCAAAGACTCTCCCCTTCAACCCCAGGCCTCCGACATAATATTATGAATAAAAAGAAATCTTTTAATACTGGCTAAACACTTACACTAATAACTGGTTTAAGTCTAAGTTCTCAAAAGATGTCAAAAAGGAAAGAGTCTTCAAACGCTGTGTTTGTGGAAAAGGGAAAAAGACTTCTTCTTTATTTCAGCATCAGGTCGCACAGAGAGACCCAACTGCACAAACACAGTGTTCCAAACAACAGTTTATATACTATTTATCTGGGGTAATTTGTTATCCCCCCAGCTTACTTCTCAAATTTTGATATTAGCTCGTTCTCTAATAGGTGTATCTCTTCGTCCATCAATTTGGCCATGCATGTTGAGCTCACGCCTAAAAACTGGTTTCAAAAGGTTTTTACCAGTCTGCTTTACCTTTCAAGGTCAATTTGCCCCTCTCTTTATTGGGGCAGTAGGTACACACGCCTGTCTGTGAACCCAAGGGCTTTCCAGTGTCTAGAATCTCCTATGCAGACAGACTAAGACCTTCCCTTTGTGAGAGAATTAAAATTCGCTGTTAGCCAATACTACTTATTTGGTTATTGATTACAATATCTAATCTATTTGATTACTGATTAAGGGAATATTTATTCAAAATCTCCATCAAGGCCTTAAGCACTTCAAAAACCTGGTTCCTGTCATCACAACTGTGAACAGTTCTTTCTCATTCTCTTGAACAGGGCTTTTCAAAACAAATCACTTTAAATGACGTTGTTTACAAAATTAATGTGAAAAAATTTGGAAAAAAGTGAAATTCCACCTTCAAAGTGTCTATAACTGCAGAGATGTATAAAGTGCAGATTTCCTTTCTTCGCAGTACCGATTGCTGTTTCCTGTATGGAGTGTTTAATGGTTACGACGGCAGCCGTGTGGCTAATTTCGTATCCCAGTGTCTGACCGCAGAACTACTACTGGGTCAGCTCAACTCCAGCCACTCGGATACTGACATCCGACGCATCCTCACTCAGGTAACTAGACGTTTAGCACGCCCTGTTCCCCTATTCTTATGTAAAGGGACAGTCCATTTGTTCTAGATTAAAGCAATGATTTGGTGAGAAATTTAATTCATCCAGTTTTCTGTCTTTTCCCCCTAAATGTAGTCAGTCAGCCAGGACTTGCTGGGTGTCTGAAGTTTGCTTCTTTAGTTTGTCTTTGGAGCTGTGTGGTAAATTTAACTACCAAGTAAGGGAAGCTTACAGTGTCTCCTCACCCCCTTAAAAAGTGGTTCTTCAAGGGTTCTTTAGCAAAGATCATGGTTATATATACAACCGCAACACTCAAAGAACCGTTTAAGTGATTCTTTGCGTGTTTAAGTGATTCTGCTCTATGACAGAAATCTGTTGTATGTGTTTCTATAAGGTAATTCTGTGTAGCACTAAAGTGGGTTCAAAGAACCTTTTGTGGTACTGGACAGAGCCCTTTTTGCTAACAGTGTAGAAGTGCAAACGGCATTCCTAAATTATCACATTCTTGCATCAAACTACATCAGTTTTTTTTTTTTTATAAAGATTTTTTACATTTTTTTATAAAGGCTTCAAGATGGCTGCTGCTACTATTTCTAGTTATTCAACAGATTTTGTTCATTTTTATGGATTAAAGTATGCCATACAGTTTTAGAAAACGCTTAAGACTTTCAGAGATTACTAGACTAATATCTTAGACTTTCTTGCTTTTTCATTTTTCCCTGAGGTCCATTTGTTTGTGGTTTTATAGACGTTTATGGTCATTTTTACATGGCCAGTCTCCAGAATCTCTTTCTGCTTTAGCAGTAAACAGGCTGATTTTTGTGCATTTATGACTCATATATGTAAATATATGTAAAGTTCTGTTCTAATTGGCTGCCCTGTATTGTGCCTCATTCACAAAGCAGTCAGGGCTGAAACACACCTCACTTTAAATGGGCGGAGCTGGCAGAAAAGGTCATTATATGTAAATGTGTCCAGTGTTGCTTACTATTGATTTCTATTTAGTGAGTGCGGCACCTGAGAATTCGATTTATGAAGGGAAACGTGAATCAGATGCAACACTGGCAGCTTTATGGAGACTCCTTCAGGTTACCTAATCATATGTTGAACATTATCAATAAATGTGCTAATCATAATATCTTTATTACAAACCAAGCTCAGATTAATTGGGTTATTTATAGTTGTTACAGACTGCTGGCATACTGCAGTGGTGCTGGGGGTATTGAGCTCAGCGCGTGAGTGTGGTTATCTCCTCCCTCGAGGATCCTGTGCTTTCATATTTATGAGTGCGGCATGAGTGGGGCGTCTTCAGGGGGCGGTAAAATTGGTTGACCGATTTGCATACTGTGACATACGAAGACACGTCATCCATGCCTATGGCAGAGTTGAACCTGATGGGCGCTGCACAGGCGGAACTGACCATGATATGAAAGATATTTTTACAGTTTGGCAAGATCTGATTACATTTTAAGCAAGGCTGGTGTATATTATTATTACAGAGCAATGCATTTCAGCTATTAATGAATAAAAGGTCTTAGGGTGTAGTTACTCTTTAAGAAAAGCAAGGAAAATTCTGTTTTGTTTTCCATGATATTAACCCTTTAACAAACTGTTACCTAATTGGTGGGGTATAAGCTTCTGTTACTTCCATTAGCTACATCAGCCTCAGGCTCCAGTTTAAAACTAAAGAAGCAAACTTCAGACACACAGCACATCCTGGCTGATTGACTACATTTGAGGTAAGAGGGCAATTGTGTAAATTGTTGATATTTCACTGGACTGTTCCTATAGCAAATAGTCAGACACCGTATCAGGTAGCCTTAATATGCACAGCTAAAAACCACATTAGTGAGCATTTTGAGTGTAATTTAAGCTTAAATCTACTTTATATTTTTTCAAATTGGCTAAAATCTGTTGAATTAGATGTTGGAGAGTTCAGATGGAAGTGTGGTGAATTGCTGTGCTCTTTGTTAATATTCCTGCCTCCATGTCTCTATTCAAGGCTTTTGATGTGGTGGAGAAAAGTTACTTTGAGACCATAGATGACGCACTGGCAGAAAAGGCCAACCTGCAGGCGCAACTTCCTGAGGCAAGAATACACTCACGCATGCACAGCAAAGAAATGGCCCATGGAAACCTTTTTTTTTTTTCAAGGATTTCTTCTCCCACACACACCTTCACAGACAAGCTGAATACATGAATAAAAAAATCATTTGAACGATTCTGCCCATGAGGGCAGTTTGAAAACAGAATCTGCTTTCGGTATGAACCGCTTCACCCTGCACCTCCGATGCAAAAGCGTAGGTCACAGCAAGTTCAGTATTAAAATGCAAATAACATGCAGGATCCTTTTTGATTCATCAAGAACCTAGATGGTAAAGGATCATCAGCGAGAAGAGAAAAGAAAAGAAAAAAGGAACATTGTAGCACAGTTGTGTCTGTATCTGTATATTTGATATGCTACTGGCCCATGTTCACATTAACTTTTTCAGTCACACAATGTTACATGGGTTGTATGAAACTTTAGTTCCTGTAGAGGCATTAAAAAGGTGAGCAGGTCTTAATTTCACATAAAGATACCGAAAAAAGTACTAATTCTGATATATTGTTAAATTTTACTTTTACTGCTACAGCAATGCCATTTTTATGCATGTAGCATTAATGCAAGTTATGTAGTCCTAGCTACATAACTAATAGCTTGTTTATACCTTGAATTGATGTTTTTCATAACTGTCTCGATATACTTTTGTAAACATGGTTTCTAGCTGGTAGTGGCTCAGCGACCTCTTTTGTATAAGAGAGCACCCCTTGTTTGGCCAGTTGTGGACCTGTACATAATACAACATACACAAAAAAGAGACAAACACAAAGCAGACAGTAGCCAACGCACATTAGGAATATTCTGACCAGGGGTCATAACACTGTGCAACATATTATGTTCATTTTTAATGATAATAGCACATCAAACAGTGTTGAGCCACACGAGCAAGTCTATTTGAGATTATTAGACCAATATCCTTTTCATTTTTCTTGCGTTATACCTTTTCCCTGAGGTCCATTTAATTTTTTCGTTTATGGATATTTATGGTCATTTTTTTATATGATTTCTCTAAAATCTCTTTCTTTCTTCTGAATAAACAGGCAGTTTTTGTTGTACATTTAAAATTGACACATGTTAATGAGTTCTGTCCTGGTCAGCAATATTGTACCCTGTATTGTGCCTCATTCAAAATGCAGTCTGGGCTGAAACAAACCTTGTAGCTTCACTGTAAATGGACAGAGTTAAACTGTTGCTGCAGAATAGGTGAATACAAGTAAATGCATCAGTTTTTGTGACATCACAAAAGTGGTGAATTTAAAACAAGCTATTTCAACTCACTCGTCTTTGCTGTTTTACTTTCAGTAAGCTTCTGTAAACGTGGTTTCTGACCTGTTACTACTAGACGTGCTGGTATTCAGTAATTCGGTATACTGTGATATTAAACACACACTGCAACATTGTCGTGGATGTTTTTGAAATACCGTCACTGCAGTTCAGTCAAACAGGCTGCAGTTTCACCTGAGATTTCTTAGACACGCACATCAACTCTGCAACTGGAACTTGTAAACAGTCTCAACTGCTAGAGCATGGCAGAAGTTTTATTCCTTAGTCTGTTTTATATGCTTAGTCTGAGGAATACACTTACGTTTGCAGTCACAGATGTTTTTAATTTTGATTCTCAATGCGATATCATTAAATTTATTAAGCTGTGATAAAAGATGAGGGTGATTATCATCCTTTTTTTTTTTATTTTTTATATATATTTTTTTTTATATCAGCACATGCCAAAATACTACCGGTGTATTATGCTGCCCAGTATCAGAAACAGTTTAAGTTAAGTTTTAAGTTAAGTTTTGCAGCTACTGTAATTACTTGCTTGCATTATTGATGCATTTCTGCTTACATAATTGTATGGAGATATAGAAAACACATTCCCTTTACTCTTGTGTTGAATGTGGCCAAGATCCACTGACCACCTCCCAATGTGGTTTTAGTGATCCAATCACGATGCGTCTTTGCTGTGTTTACTTTTCATGCAGTCATGTTGATACTCATAGTTACTAAATAACTCATAGCAGTTGCTGAGTAATAAGTATTAAGGATAATAACTGAATATAACAAATATAACTAACAAATGTGCTTAGGATTCAGGGGGTTCATTCATTCTTAATTGTCAGTAAATAATGGGTTGTTTCAGAGATCAAGATCAAGCACCAACAACTCTCACAACCAACAGAAACATAGGCAAAACATATAAATGTTGAGACCATGCAGATTTTGAGTCATGACTTTTCTCCTTTTCACCTGTAGGGGGTACCGTTTCACCAACTGCCTCCTCAGTTTCAGAAGATCGTAGAGCGGCTGAAGGCTCTGGAGCAGGAGGTGTCTGGAGGAGCCACAGCGGTTGTTGCCCTAATCCTCAACAACAAGCTGTACATCGCTAATGTGGGTATGTTCAAATGCGCATGCATGGTCAGATGCATGCACGTACACTTCACTTTAAATGAGCTCTGTATTGCTTATGGTACGGTGCTAAAGACAGAGTCCATCCTTTCGTTTATTTCATTTCCAGTCAAAATGGCAATTAAGTTCAAGTCAGTCACTTTCTGAATAAAAACTGAAACATATATTTAAGTGAACATTATGCAGAAACCTTCAGTACTAAGTGTGGCATTACTTGATTAGTAAGAGGCAGAAAATACAACCACCTTCTAAGACTAAAATTTGGAAGTGTGGGAAAAAACCATCCCTGCAGATTTCTTGAAAAAACTGAATCCAGGTCTTCTTAAATGGATTTATGCTGTAATAAAGGCAAAGGGTGGATGCACTAAATACTAAAAAAAAAATATGTAATTGCTATTGTATCTGTGTAGTTTTCTGTTAAATATATATATTCTGCTTTTTTCCCGATGCTGAAAAAAATTAATATCTTTTTTCAGATAAAAATAGCTTTTTTTGACTGGAAATAATAAATCTCTGACTTTTGCACAGTACTGTGTTTGAATAATAGGGCTGCAACAATTAGTCAATTAGTCAGCTTTCTGAAAAAATATTCACAGATTTTTATTGTTGACACTGTTTAATTTATAAAAATTTCTGTGTGATGTTGTGTAATGTTCATTTGATATGCAGTCATTCAGTTTGCAGTTAAGAACTACAGGAAGTGTGGGGATATATATAGCTTGTATTAAATATAACCTTAAACATGCATACACTGATCAGACATAACAAAAACCTCAGCAGCACTGCTGCGTCTGATCCACTCAGACCAGTGCAACACACACTAACACAACACCGCCACATCAGTGTTACTGCAGTGCTGAGAATGATCCACCACCCAAATAGTACCTGCTCTGTGAGGGTCCATGGGGTCCTGACCACTGAAGAACAGGGTAAAAGGGGGCTAACATAGTATGCAGAGAAACAGATGGACTGCAGTCTGTAAAAACTACAAAGTTCACCTATATAGTAAGTGGAGCTGATTAAATGGACAATGAGCATAAAAACGTAAAGCATAAAAAGGAGGTGGTCATAATGTTATGCCTGATAGGTGCATATAAGCATGTTCTCAGCAAGGTGATGTGCTCATACATGCACCTGTGAATACACACTTACATACACAGTGTTATCCCAGTTGTGTCATGCATTCTCTCCAGTCATCCTGCCGTATAAATGCTGAACCATGAATAAAACAGTTTAATTATTAAAAGTCCAGCAAACGTTGCACTTACAAGTTAAAGAGACAAATTCAGAGGAAAATAAAACACTCTAGGGATCGTGTTACTAAAGAACCTCATCTTTTCCTGGAATTCATCCATTATTTTGGCTCGTACAGTTTGGAAGGAGGAGCAGTATGATGAGCTTAATTTATTTTCCCCGTGCAGCAGAGAAGTAGCCATGACAGATGGCAGCTAAAATAATAAGAAAGGAGTAGTCCATGTCTACTGGATGGCATTCTTACATGGTTTTAAAGGAATACGCTTAGACACAAGTGACAGTTTTAAACACACAGCTTGATAACTAATTTAGTAGATACAGTTCAGGAAGGAACAATATTTCTATTCCACTGCATTTTTCATATAATGCCACTTCAGTAAGTTAATCCTCCAGAGGACTTTATGGAGTACTAAATGATGAGGTTGCTATATGATGGACTACAGAGCCAAAATAAAAAAAAAAAATGAGAGTGTGTGACTGTTCAGTTACATTATGGACTGCACAGTGTAGCAGCCCCCTATGTACATTATCAAATAGTATTAGATTTGATTGTAATTGATTCTAACCTGTGAAATTAGATTCAGGTGCTTTGTAGGCAAAAGCAGTTGAACATTGAATCTCTTCCCCACTCACCCCTTGTACTTATACTCACTGGCCATTTTATCAGGAACACCTACCATACAAGTACACCTGCAGTTACTGACTGTAGCCCATTTGTTGCTGCAGTTCATGTATGGAGGCATGAAGCTATGGAGAAATTTGAATTTAAATGGAAAAATCAGCATTTGAGGTTATTGAAGTTATTGTTTTGAATCTGTATCATACCATCTGAAATTGAATTCTGAACTGAAATTGAATTTTCAGATGAGGAGGGCCATATAAAATCTCAAGATGAATTTTACAGTTAATGCTGTACAACTTCTTGTGTGAAATTAAGTTTTAAAAAAACATTCAGTTAATTTACATTAATTATTAATATACGTTTTCAGATCCTCTTTCAAAATAACATCCAGGCAAAAGCAGTCGAACATGAACATGAAAATCTCTTCCCCATTCAACGTATCAGCTCCTACCTTGTTTCTACTCTTACATTTTATCATAAACACCTACCATACAGGTACACTGGCAATTACTGTAGCCCATCTGTTGCTGCAGTTTATTATCCCTCCCTCCTTTACCACATTCATCAGTAGAAAGGATTATTGTTATTATTATTATTATTTGATATTACGTGAGTGACATACTACATGAAATAGTAGTGGCACGAGTGTATTAGGCATATTGCCATTACTGGGGTTGACAGGCATGCCTTAAGTAGCATGTAGAAAGTATATTCACTCATTACATACACTCGTCTTTGTTTTAAAAGTTTCGCTCCTCACCTGTCATAGAACAAGCATCATTATCTGGATATGAAGTGATTCATTGCTTCACTACTTTTGCCCGCAAGAATTCAGTTTCAGGTGGTATACAGATTCAAAATATTTTTGAATTAAAAATGTTTGCAATTAAATTCAAATTTGTAATGGTGTGAACTCCGTACCTGACTCCATACCTGATGAAATACTGTTGCAGTAGAAACACCTCATGTCTCCAAAGATGGTAGCTTTACAGGAGAAACAAAAAAACATTCTTAGCAATTTAAGTAAATGTAAATGTTTTTTTCCAAATCACTGTGGGCCATTTCTATTAGTCCGTTCGTCATATTTCAAATTATTGAAAAAAAAAAATCAAGACAAAAATGGAGATACAAGGTTTTATTCTGATGGCAACTGTACAGTTGTATGCCCAAATTTGAACACCCCTGGTTAAATTACATGCTTTGTTGATTTTCTAAGTGAAAATAAGTTAACAAATTCTCTACAGAGAGCACACTTATGACATGACATTTTCTGTATATTTTATTGCACAATTTCTATTTTTTTGCTGAGTTTAAAATATTTTTACTTCCATAAAAAATAAAATATAAAATGTTCCATAACTTTTGCACAGTTTTATGTTGCTTCCTGAAATGTTAAATCCAGCAACTAAACAGTAAATGTGCATTATAATGTGCAGAAGTGTGTTCTCAGTAGAGGATGCGTTCACTTATTTACACTTAGAAAATCAACAAAACATGTCATTTGACTAGGGGCGCCCAAACTATTGCATACAGCTGTACCCTTCTATCATGTCATTTTCTCCTGGGACTTTGAGGAAAAAATCCTTTCTCGTAATATGATTACGTGCAATAATTCTGTTGTCTGTTCGAGATGCTATTTTGGTTTGAACATCTAACATCAGACACCAGACACCACAAACACAGCAGCCACCGAGACCTTTAGCATTTCACTGCACTGACATTATAGCCCCTCTGTTTGTTGTTGTTTTTGTTTTGACTCTGATTTTCGCTCTTTGAAAAGGTCACGCCAGGGTCAAAGTGGTAAATTGCCGTAGGTTATGTTGTGTTGGAAATTGCTGAGATGGAGATGCTAACACAGCTGTGGTTGACACCCCAGTGGAAAAGAAAGGATACATGCGTAGGTTTAAAGGGGATGTCCACCAGGTTTTCCTAATTTCTGTATAATTCAGTCATCGAGATGTAAACAAAGTTATTCAGAAAGTTTTGAAGTAAAATGGTTCATTGTGTAGAAACTTAGCAACTCGGACTGTTTTACAGTGGTGCCGACATGAGCCAAGAGTCACGATGTCTACAGTACAAATATAGCCATTTTATTTACTATCCAAACCCAAATGTGAACCTGCATGTATCTTCTGAATTTTTGTATGTAATGTAATAATAATGGTAAAATAGAGAAAAGAAATATGTTTGGGGACTATTTTGCACATAAAACAAGCCTGTTTTAGGCCAGAACATCCTTAAGGTCATCATAAAACAACGTTTTAGGCATCAGTCAGCATATTCATAATGCTTTACTGTAATAACTTTCTGTGGGGGAGCTTTTGAAGTCATTAAAACCTTCATATGTCTGGTTCCTACCATCACCTCAGTGAAAAAATATGACTTAGTAAGTTTCTCTAGAATGAAGATTTCACACCAAACCGCTCTGAAACTTTGTTTACATCTTAAGCACTTAATTTTTCAGAAATTTTGGAAGTGTTGGAGTTGAACAGGTCTTAAAAGTACTTTCACGTTAATGAGAACTAATGTCTGATGTTTGATTTGTAGGGCAACTTCCCCCATCACAACAAAATTTATAGGAAGCTGGCCAGGACAAAAAATTAGGAAATTTGCAGAGACAAAAATGAAGGCCCACATTTTGTGGCTGATTTAAATACCAATTCTAAGGTGCTAAAATTCTGATAACCAGTAATATTGGCTGATAAAATGTTATATTTATATTTTAGGTTTTAATTTTTAAACTCCATTAGTTTTGGTTTTAAAATCAATGGTTTACTGACGAATATGATTGTCGGTTCTCAGTTGTCACATTTATTAAACTCAATTAAACAGAAACTCATGGTTCTAAATATTGACTGAGGGCAGAACCATCTAAAATTCTTTGTGATTGTGGTTTTTTGTTAATCACCCTTTATTTTTTAGTATTTTTCATTATTCTTCATGCAGAGTTTAAAAAATGTTATTGGGATCCTCAGTGGCACAAGCCACCTAAGGTTTTTTGCCGTGTCACTGAAATCTGGTGTTGCTGTGACTAAAGATAAAGACACTAATTTTCGTGCAGCACATTTTCCCTGATACTGCTAGAACTGTTGGCTGCCAGTACCAGCTGATGTTGGCAAACCAATATATCGGTTAGGCCCTTTTAAAACACCAGTGATGGTGATAACCACAAAAAAAGGAAAAGTAGTGGGGCAAAAAGGAGTCGTAATTCTAATTGATAGATTGTAAAAAAATTATTTCTCAGCATTAGAAGAGCATAAGAATGAAAACAGTTTAAAGAAGACATTTGAAAAGAGGGCAACAATAAAATACACAAACCATCTTAAAACGCATAAGCAGAGTGCATTTGAAAAGAAAGCTTTTAAGTAGGACAAAAAAGGATAAACCAGTAGAAAGAAGGTTAAAAAAAGATGAGGTGAGACTGTTTCAGGGAACCCACAGGTTTAAACAAAGCAATTGTACGTTCAGGCAAATAATATGTAAATGAAACAAAGTGTGCATCATAATAACAGAGTAAAAGCAACACTGGTGACCAGGATTGAGTTAGAAACCAGGCAAAATGCCTGTGGTTCAGTCATCAGTGAACATCCTGTCTCGAGCAGATACTCTGTCATGTTGATTAAAAAAGAATCAAAAAATCTCCTCAAAGTCTTTTACAGCCTGGTTTTGCAACCTTGTGCTGCACCACCCTGTCTCCAGAATAGTTTAGAGATATAAACAAGTCCTTATTTCAGTCTTAACAACTTTCTAAAGAAGGTTGAACACTGGGAAAAAGAGAAGAAACAAAACACAGACATACCAAAGGCCTCACAGAAACAAAGAGCTAAAGAAATATGTTCTGTAGTGTTGACATTAGAAAAGTTTAATATGACAGGATGATTAAAATAGTGGGGGGTAATCTATGTGACAATATGGAATGTAGTGATTAGCACAGGGAGGATGATGGAAATCGTTGAGAGATGAGATTTTTAGGGCTAGCCAAATATTTTGAATATGCTAGTATTCACCGGAGCACATCTGTCTCTTGGCAAAGTCCATCATAAAAAGGGGCGCGTAAAACTGTTGCAGATCGAAAACTGATTTTTTTATGAAAGAAAACAAACATACATAAAGCATGCTAATAACAACATCGTAGGCTTACAATGTTTCCCTGCAGTTGTACTTTACGGCCATCGCACACAATACGGCACACAAGAAATTTCTACTTTCTGCAGATATGACCTTGCTGACTCATAACAGGTGCCTATGTGACCTCACTTTCAGGAGCTTTGCCCAGCGCTTAGCTAAATTTGCTATAGGTTACTGATAAAACGTTAGTGCTGAGCTTCAAATATTAGACACAATACGATCCATGATCTACCCATCATAAGATGAAAGCCTGAGTTCTCAAACTTTGGCTGTAAAATGTGATTAGGTCTCTACAGTGACCATCAGACAGCTTGTTTTCTATTTTGGGGAGGCTGCAGTCTGTGCCATCTCTAGTATCGTTGGCGGTGTTGGCTGGCTTGTTTATGTTTCGAGGGAGATGACACTGTCAATCATTATGCGATCTGACACACCCACACAGTTCTGAGCACACAGCAGTTTGGAATTCTTGTAGTATTTATCTGCTATTAAATTGTGTGTGTATATACATATATATACATACGTGTGTATGCGTGTGTGTGTGTGTGTGTGTGTGTGTGTATACGCATGCCCTGGACATTTCAGTTTGTATAGAGTTTGTTGGTGTTTACAGATACAGGGACACAGGGACTTTACAGATTGTTTACTCTTAGCGAATGCTAATTAACACCATGTTAGGAATGAATGATATCCATGTGTTGTTGTTCAGGTACCAATCGTGCTCTGCTCTGCAAATGTACCCCTGATCGGCAGAATCAGGTTATTCAGATCGGACGCGCTCACACAACTGACAATGAGGAGGAGCTCGCAAGACTGACCCAGCTAGGTGAGTGAACACAGATAAACACAGAGTGAAATGATAAAAATCCATCTGCATTTATTGTGGTTTTATATGTGGAGGTATGTGTGTGTGTGTGTGTGTGTGTGTGTGTGTGTGTGTGTGTGTGTATGTATGTATGTATGTGTGTGTGTGTGTATATATATATATATATATATATATATATATATATATATATATATATATATATTATACTTTCACTCTTTCCCTTTCTCTTCTTTTTCTCTCTTCATTCTCTCTTTCTCAAACTCTCTCACTCTCCTTTCTCACTCTCCCTTATTCTCACACTCACATGATCTCTCACTCTCCTTCTCGTCTTTATCTGTCTCTCATTGCCTTTGCCTTTCTGTCTTCCCTCTTTCTGTATCTCTCCACTTATTTTATTTCTTTCTCTTGCTTTCTCTCCCTCTCTCGTTTTTTCTCTCTTGCTCACTTTCTTTTTCTATCTTTATCTCTGCTTTATCTCTTACTCTCTCTCTATTGTTCTCACTTATAAACTCTCTCTCACTGTTCTCACTTTCTTTCTTTCTCTTTTCATCATCTCTGCTTTTTCTCTCTCTCTGTTTTTCCTCCTCTGTTTCTGTCTCTCTCCCCCGTCTTCTCTTTTTCTCTCTCTGCATCTCTCTCTCTCTCTCAGGTCTGGACCCTGCTCGGTTGAGACAGACAGGACTAATAGCAGGTCAGAGCAGTCTGAGGAGGATTGGAGACTATAAGGTCAAATTCAACTACACAGATATCGATGTGCTGAGGTGGGTTCAGACTAAACAAAAACAGTCTGCTTATTTAAAATCACATGCTGTGATGTTTGGCTCGCTGTTATTACGCGCTAATCTAACGTGTGCGTGTATCATTTGTAGCCTTGACCCCAGCGTGGCATTGACGCATATGTTTTGTGTTGTAGGTACCATATGTGTATGAAAAAAGCTTCAGGCTGTTTTCAGTTCTTTACATTTTTCAGCCATACAGTCTTTATTTTGGGCCCATTTGAATAAGACTATAGAATATCTGATCTGTCTGAATGTCTGAATCTTTTTCTCACTGTCACTCTCTCTGTTGATCATTCCGTACCTCATATCTCTCTCTCGCTCCTTTTTTCTCTCTGGAATACTAATGGGCCCATATCGTGTGAAACTGGATCCTTTTTTTCCTTTGTTTATAAACATTGTTCATTTACATAATTTATAAAAAAGTCTTAGAGGCACAGCAACAAATAATGTGAGGTTGGAAATGGTCATGTAAAAAATTATTACATTTGCTTTTGGTGCATAAACCCACACAAATGTCATAGGTGGTTATTCAGTGTTTATTGCCATACAAAAAGACAAGGACAACAGATATAACATTCAGCATAAAACATGATATAAAACATTTAATGCTTGTTTGCTGAATTCAACATATTGGGGTAGAAAAGTGTTCTAGTGTCATATTTAACATATATTTTTATTGTTCCCTGTTGAGGATGTGTTTTTTTCAGTTAGAAAATCAACAACTGTATATACAGTTTTGCTGTTAATAAATATGTAAGAAGTACAAAACAAATAGTGACAGTGTAACAGGTGCTCTCTGTCACAGTGCGTCTCTTCCCCGTCTCTCTCTCTTTTCTCTGAGTCTCTCCCTCTCTGTTGTTGTTTATGTGAAGGTGGAAGAGTCCCATCTGTCTTTCTTTCTCTATATGTGGGTTTCTCTCCTGTGGTCTGCTACCCAGCTTGGCTCTCTGACCGCATGTGGCCATACCACATTAAGCTCTTCTAGATGCCATTAACTTTCTGCGCAAAACTCTAATTTCCTGCCGTCTGGCGGAAAGGCAAAAGCAGCTGTGGTTTTTGATGCAGCACACATACAGAAAGTGCATTTGTTTTTCTTTTCAGTTTCCCTTTAGCAGTAAAATAGCAGAGTTTGTGCAGAATGTTTAAAGATTAAACTTTGATATGTACTCATATGAACGGTTTAGATTAGTGTATTATGTTGTTCGACTCTAATTGCACATGTTGATTTTTTAGTGCGGCCAAGAGTAAGCCGATCATCGCAGAGCCTGAGATTCACGGTGGCCAGACGTTGGAGGGCGTGACGGGCTTTCTGTTGCTGATGTCAGAAGGGCTCATTAGGGCTCTTGAGGCTGCCCACGGCCCTGAGCAAGCCAATCAGGTGTGTTCAAGGAAGCCTTTGTTTCAGTGTATATAGAAACTATTGGCATGGAATACAGAAAAGAAGTGTCGAATTTTAAGATGGTGATTCATCTGTATTGATTTTGGAATGTTAGAATCAATTATAATTGATTGTAATAATATTTATCAGAGTATCCCATCATTTTTGACAAAATAAAACTCCCAAAAATACTGCTTTTATTGTCTGTCTTCTGCTTTTGTGCAAATTGTTTCTCCAGTCTCATTTGTGTATTTTGTGAATTTGTAGAAATAAATTTAGAATTAAGAGATTTAATTAGTACATTACATGATAGCAATAGTAATAAATATAATATTTGCAGGCTCCTACTCATTTCAAAACAGGCCTGCACTCCATAAAGACTGACATTTTCACTTGTCACTGTTGCTATAGAAACAATGCCATCTTAGGGTGCCAGTCGCCAGAGCTGAGATTTCTGTGCTTGATCATAGACTTATATAGCACAACTGCTATACTACATTTCCCATGATTCCCCTTTCAGGAGATGGTTGCCATGGTGGCAGCAGAGCTGGCCCAGCAGAGCAGTCTGGAGGCAGTGGCCCAGTCGGTGGTGGAGCGCGTTAAGCGGCTTCATCATGACGCCTACGCCAGCGGCAGGCAGAGAGCGCCGCACTGCTCCCGGCACGAGGACATGACCCTCCTCATCCGCACCATTAATTACCCTCTATCAGACGGCTCACTCACACCCACTCAGGGTAACACTACTGCTTATGGGTCTCTTTTCTCTCTCCCTGTGCTTGTTAGCATGTTTGTGCGGGTCGTTGCCTGTAAACTCACGCCCTTCTCACGTCCATGCTTCTTTTTGCTATACTATTTAAATGGAATTACATTATTACATGATTAATTATAGAGTTACATACATATTCTGTGCTGCACTGACAGGTTAAGTAAGTTTGCAAGTTCCAACTTTTTCTTAAAAATGTCGACAAATGACAGACATGGCACGAAAGTAAAGGATGGTTGTCCTAGACCTGTGCAGGAAAAAACAATAATGATAATTATCAAAATCAGATATTTGTTTTGATATCATCAAAACACCTGTGAAGTATTTTTGATAAATCAATTTATGTCGCTCTCTTCCTGCGTCCACTATTAGCAGCAAGAGTGTGAACAGTTGTCTCTATGGTGCACTAGATGGTGCTGTTCACCTTTTACTTGTAGGACACAGAAGAAGTCTAACCATTCACTCACAATAGCACCTACCGGTAGTTGCTACCTAGCAATTTTCAGTGTTGAAATGATAGAAAATAATATTTTGAAAGATGTTTTCATTTAGGTGTTACTTAAGTATAAATACAAGTATTGTGTTTTATATTGTATAGAATACCAGATTTTTTTCAGACATTTTTATTTTGTTTCTGTAAGTGCTTTTATGATCTTTTTGTTTATATACAGAAAACAGTCATAATTAATTTTTATATGACCATTTTCCACCTTTTTTTTATCTCTTAGACTGAAACAGGCTGTTTTTGTTGCTGTGCTTTTAAGACTGATATATGTAAATGACCTCTGCTCTGATTGGCTGCAGCTGTATTTTGCCTCCTTCAAAAGCAGTCCAGGCTGACACTCTTAACTTCAGTGTGAATAGGTTGTAAACTGTAGACTGAATAGGTTGATATTTGTAAATCTCTTGGTTTTTCATGACCTCTAAAGACTGTGCGTTCTAATCAGACTGTTGGACTGAATGATACATTTTGAAACAAAGTTTACATGCAACATCAAGCTCTTGTAATTTAAGAAAATGAGGGGAATTCATGTTTCAGTGATATGGGCCCTTTAATGCCATGTCATACCAAATATAGCACATATCAGCAACACAAAACTGTGCAGTATTCAGCCGCTTCTTTTGTTATTTCTCATCAAACTTTTCCAATGTTGAGTGATATCATTCTTGGCCTTTTCAAACTGACTCTGATTGTGATTCCACGCTCTCTCTGTGTCTTTCTCCCCCCCAGGTGGCCGAATTTATCCAGTCTCTGTGCCCTACTCCAACAGTCAGAGCACTAGTAAGACCAGTGTGACCCTCTCTCTGGTCATGCCCTGTCAGGGCACACTCACTAACGGAACCAACACTGCCTCCACCCTCGAAGGAGGCACTCCAACGCCAGGGTAATGGTTCCTTCCCCGCTCAGCTCAGCTCTTTGTGGTGGTAGTCCAGTTTTCCATTAGGAGTGGTATTAATATTTTATGCAGAGCCTTGTAGCATTGTGGGCCAGTATGAAAGCTGTAACAGCTCTTATGGTTATCGGCTATTTCTCTTTGTTAGATTCTAAGGGTGCACCGGTGCTGTCCTCTTGAATCCAATTAGTACAAAATAGTAAATCAGCTACGTGTATATACACTGAACAATAAGAGTGGCAATAAGAGTACTTTTGTGTTACTTTTTCTGTTTCTAGTCTCATTGTTCCACACGTTTTCATCAGTTTTCACACATCATACATGTGGAAACCCTTCCCCAAATTGTGGCAATGACAACATTACATACATATCCTGAATGGCCACTTCAATAAGTACACTTACCTTATATTTGCACTCTTTGTCCATTTTATCAGCTCTGCTCACCATCTACTAGTTTTGGAGCTGTTGTTCTACAATTACAACCTGTTGCCCATTTGTTTCTGTGCATACTTTGTAGGCCCCCTTTCACCCTGTTTTTCAATGGACCGGACCACCACAGAACCACCACAAAGCAGGTATTATTTGAGTGGTGGATCATTCTCAGCACTGCAGCAACACTGACATGGTGGTGGTGTGTTTTTGTGTGCTGCACTGGTATGAGTGGATCAGACACAGCAGTGCTGCTGGAGTTTTAATCAGTGCAACACACACTAAAACACTACCACCACATCAGTGTCACTGCAGTGCTGAGAATGATCCACCGCTCAAATAATACCTGCTCTGTGGTGGTCCTGTGGGGGTCCTGACCATTGAAGAACAGAGTGAAAGGGGACTAACAGAGTATGCAGAGAAACAGATGGACTACAGTCTGTAATTGTAGAACTACAAGGCAGATATATGGTAAGTGAAGCTAATAAAATGGACAGAGTGTAGAAACAAGATAGGTGTATTTGATAAAGTGGACTATCAGTGAACACAGTTCATTTTCACATTGCTTGTGTGTTACATGTGCTAATCTGTACTGTTGTTCAGAAAAGTGTTGATTGTAAGTGTTTTGGTAGTTGGTGCACTCTATCATTGTAACTGGTCAGCCATTGTCTAAAAGCAATAGTTCAGCAAAAAATCAACTTGTACTCAAATTTCCGCTTTATCAGTTAGCCAACGTATGTCTGAAGTTTGCCTCTTTAGAACATTGGAGCTACAGTCATTTGACAAGTCAAATTACATGTGTTGTTGATTTTGTAAGTGGAAAAAATGTTAACCCCTTAAAATCCTAGTCTTATACATAATAAGGCTTATTATTCAGTAACTAACTGAATAATAAGCCAACTGGTTCAGCTATTTTTTAGGTTATAGAAGTGTAATAAACTTTGCGCCTGCCGGTGGGCCCTGTCCATTTAAGGGAATAAAACACTCTCTACAGGGAGCAAACATAAATATGGTACTTTTCTGTGCATTTTGCTGCACAAGTTCTGTATATTTGCTGAGTTAAATATATTGGGGGAAACAAATATGTAAAACATAAAAGTGTGCCATAACTTTTGCACAGGCCTCATTTTTTATGATTTTTTTTCTATAGTTGTGCATTAAAATGTGAAGAAATATGTTCTTTGTAGAGCTAGAGGACATGTACTAATGTTCACTTCACGAAAAGATGTAATTTGACCAAGGGTGCCCAAACTTGTCCGATACTTTATATTCACATTTACATATTTGGCAGACATTGTTTTTTTTAGGTAAAGTTACATTAAAAGCGCAAATGGTCCAGTCTGGTTTAGCTTTGTTTATGTCATATGATAGCAGTGAAATCTGAGATTTTGATTGCTTATTTGTAGCTAAAACACTAAGACAGTGGTGCATTCACATGAGAGCGATAGATGGGGGATGTTCCATTGTTTTCAATGGTGCCGCGGTGGAAAATTCTGCCACCGTTGACAGCAGTTCCATCAAGAGTTCAATTTTCCCAACTTTTGCTGTCAACAGCAGCAGTGAAATAAACCAGATGTTGATGTTTTTGGGAGCCATGGATGCCAAACGCCTCGTTTGTTGAATTCCAGACAATCCCAGTATTATCCAACGAAAAATAAGAGCACAGAGCTTCCTTCTGCCTTTTCCTCTGATAATCGCCCATTTTCACTGGTAACACTGTCACCATGCCAACATTTGCATGGCGTCATGCTGCTGCTGATCTTATACCGCTATGACGTGCGAAATGATGGTGAACGCAGCATTGGAAGCAAACTTCAGACACCAAAAAGTCTTGATTGGCTACTTTTAGCAGTAAGAGACACATTTGATTTTTCACTAAACTATTGCTTTATTTCCCAAAGAAAAGTTTTGGAAAATAATAACAAAGTTGACCAAGTAATTATTTCATGAAATATTTAATGAACATAATGAATTTTATGTACTATATTAAACCATCATAAATCAGCCAGAGGGATCATATGCCCCTCACCATGCTGTTAAGTAACACATTCATCACATAATAGCAATTTAATAACCAATGGCAACTCCCCTCCACTCTCTTCCCCTCCCTCCCTCCCCATCCACATACATTCTGTAGCCTGATAGCCCCCTTACGCCCTCTAACAGTAGATGTAGATGTTTTACAGCCGATCAGTGAATTCCCTGTCCCTGTCCCCATGTGTGTGTCCTCTCCGCCCCCCAGGCAGAGTCCCACAGCCACGCTGCAGTCCACCAACACGCAGACGCAGAGCTCCAGCTCCAGCTCAGGCGACGGCAGCCTCTTCCGCCAGAGGGGCTGCCAGGCAGCACAACCGGACGAGACGGGACGCGTGCCGCCATACGTGGACTTCACTCAGTTCTACCGGCTGTGGGGGACGGAGCACAGCGAGGGTCCAGGGCAGGGTGTGCTGGGACCCCAGTGAGGGTAGGGGTGGGTTGTGGTGCTCAGCCCTCCTCCTAGAGATCTGCCTTCATGCAGAGTTCAGCTCCAGTCCACATCTAACTAGGGTCACAACTAACAAGGGTCAGTTAATTAACTGATGAAACTGTTTGCCATGGACAGTTTCCTCTTACTTTGCCCAGTCGCCACACTGCAGTCATTAAAAATTCTGTGTGTGGAAGTGATTGCTTCCTTCATTTAAATGACCATGTCATAAAAACATAGACTTCATAAGTCATTTGTCATTCAGTAGTTGGCGTGTCATGCCCATGTCAGGAACTCCAGAGCTAAGCATATTTTTCTATGGGAAAAATGAAAAAAAGCCTTTTTCAGAAATCACTGCTTGTGCCCGTTTTGTTAAACAATAGTGTTCGACGGCCGATGTGTTTTGCCGTACGGATATTGTTCTGAAGTCAGTAAGGAGCTCAAATACGACTGTTGTTATATGCAGTAAAATAAACCCCTTTATTTGGAATGCATTAATAATGTATCATTCATTTTAAATGCATGTGAAAGTTCATACTGTTAGGAAGGACGAGGTGTACTTTGTTGCGCACTTAAGCTAACCTTAGCATGGTGGCAGTTTGTCATTTCGATTACAACCAAATCATAATATCCTTCAAGACATTTTCTCAATGTAATGATTAACGATTAGGCAATACGAATAGCTGGTTAGTTTATTATGGGGAAGAGGGCAATAAAAGCTCTATGGGGAAAAATAGATGGCTGCTATTGAGCCTTGTGGTAAACAAAAATGTTTCGAAGCCAAAATGTTTTGCCTTATGCATGTGGTTCTGAATTATGAGGTCATGAAGGAGCCAGAATACAACTGTTGCTGTATGCAAGCTAACACAGCTGTGCCCTGTACTGTAATTACTAGAGAAAATATCCCACACAAGCCAGCAAACTTTGTCAAATGTGCTCGTTACGTTTAGGCTGTGCTTTTAGTATCTGGTATTAGTGTTAAAGTCAAGTACATGACTTAATTGCATGCAATGTCATTTCAGTACACAGGAGTGTTCGCTTGTGTGTAGCATATATGTAGCATCATTCATATTTTGACTGCTAAACAACGTCGTAATTCATAAAAATCCTTTGACATTTGGGGGAAAATGTACACAGGACAAAATGTTTTGGGTTTGAAGCAGTTTTTAAAAATGCCATTCATTTTTCTCATTGAGAAAATTGCTTAGTTCCTAATATGGGCAAAAGACTGATCATAGAATGATGCTTCAGGGGTGAGTTATTGAGCATTACAGAGGGCTTTTGTTACCTTTTTTCATAACCTAAATAAACTAATGGACTATTCATCAGCTAATCGTTGCAGCCAATACATCTACTCCAGCCGATCGAGGTCTTCTAAGATTGGTTGCATCAGGTGTAGCACATTAAGGTTCAAACTGAGCTCTGCAGGAAGGTGGTTCTCTAGGAGGATGGCTATTGACCCCGCTAGATCGAGATAGTTTGGAGAAGCAGGTATGCTTTCTGAAAATGGAATCCAGCAGCTTGCAGCAGTACAGACCGCGGAGGAAAACAAAGATTCTAGGCATGGGATCCGGCATGCGGTCCCGTTGCATGCTGCTCTGCAAACTTGCTGTCTTCTATAAGGACTTTATTAAGTGTGATAGTATTGATCTCCAGGTGATAGTATCTAGTATCTGCTTTTTCCTCCTGTTGTTTTCAGTTGGTGAACGAATGCAAAAGATACCTCTAAAATTAGTAAACATTCTTCACTCCAATATTACATTTTGGTTACTATTGCATAACCCTGCTGGTCAGAGCCAATTGGTTTATCTAAGTGCCTACAAATGCATTCTTTTATGGATAATGTTGCCAGATTGAACACACTTTACAAAACGTAGACAGAAAAAATGCCATGCAAGCTCACAAGCCAACATTTTTTTGTCAAAATGAATACATTTAGAGTGCTTTATTAATTTATTATTCACTAATTTATGATGTTAGGATAGATCGGGTTGTGTGCATTGTAATAATTCCCCAATAATGTAATAACCAAACTATGTAATACATTTCGCACTTGATCAAAAATTTAATAAGGAATTAAATATAGTTAATTAGAAAATGTAATATGTCCCTATAATGTAATTAGGTATTACATTATAATCCAGTGTATTAATGGGAAAGTCGCATTATTGGGTTTTATTGCATTTTTGAAAAAGTGCTACATTTTATTACGTTGGGACGTTATTACATTATTGGTTCTAGGTAGTATTCTGGCAAATACCAAATTCACTATGGTTCCTCTACAGGTTGAATAGGACTTGCTCGTTCGACCTGGTGACAGTAGAGTGTATTTGTGGGCGGAGCCTGGATAAGTCAATTAGATCCCATTCCATTCATTATTTTCTAGTTGTAGCAGTTCTGGTCATCTTTGTGGAACTCGAGACGACTGGTTTTGGCGCTAGGAGAACAGTAGCGCATGATTGGCTGGAAAGCTGTGAAATGCTGAGGAAGCCTCGGGGGAATGGAGCATAAAACCAGAGTTTATGAAGAGTGAAAGACTTTCTTGTCAGCTTTGTAGTCAAGGTGAGCTGTAGACACGGCTGCTGGGGGGGTCCGCATGGTGATATCACTTTGTGGGCTGCATTTGCAGCCTCAGTCTGACTCATAGCAGCTTCAACTGAATATTGACACTGAAAAGGGAATGTGTTTTGCAGCCACGTGTTTATAGGCAGCACTGCTCTCACTCTCGGCAGATGTCAGGGGACCTGTTTGCCTACATTTGAATTCAAAAACATGCTTTTACCAGTCTGAAGTGACTCTATTATGTAGACTCAGTTTGAATAATCTGCTAATTATTACTATTGTTATTGTTATTTTGCAGTTGGCTGGGTCTCAATGTGGGACTCGAGGGCATTTCTAAAAGCATCTTTACTGAATTCGCTGAATTCAATACAGGACTTTCCTTTTATAACGAATGTCATATAATGGTAAGGACCCCTTATACTCCATAGATTACTGACAGCAATACAGCACGCTCTCTCTCCCTCCCTCCCTCGCTCCCTTCTTCTCCTAGCTCTCTTCTGCTATTCTCCCCTCGCTCTGTCTTCCTTTCTCTCCTGTTTACATTCATTTCTTTCTCCATCTCTCGCGCTCTGCCTTCCTTGCTCTGTTTTATTTCTGTCACGCTTTCTTCATTTTTTACTTTCTCTTCCTTTCTGTACCTACTCTCTTTTTTTGCTCGCCTCTTCACTTTTCATTTATTTCTCTCTCTACCTCCTCTCACTTTCGTCTTTTTTTTCTCTCTCTCATTTTGTCTCTGTTCTCTTTTTCTAGCTCTTTCCTTTTTATCTTCTCACTATCATTTCTACTGTCCCTTTCTTTTCTCTTTCTTTTTCTCTCTTTCTTGCTTTCCCTTACTCTTTCTTATTTATTTCCTCCTCCGTCTCTCTGTGTCTCTATCTGTCTATTTCCTCCATCCATCATGAAAAAAGGAGCTCTGACTGATGTCAGGTTATGATGGTCAGAGTCAGTGAATGGGTGTTGGAGAGAGTGGTAGCTGTGCTGCTGACTCTGCTGTACACTTTATAAAGGGGGGGTGAAGTTTGTTTTACAGTCATGACTATATGCTTATCTCTGAGCAAATGTTTTTTTTATATATATATAGACTTCGTTTGTGGTTTTGTCCTCTCTGTATTCCCTTGTTTCTAGTGCCTTGCTGAAATAAATGATAGAAACTGTGACACAGGCTGGGGTGAGTTCAATAGAGCGGAGAAGCATATATGTGAGACAAAACATTATAGATAAAGTTTATTACTGAGTGAATGCACTGTTTTAAAAAAAAATAAAAGACACTCAAGGCTGTGCATTACAGTGATGTTGTCAAGCTTAGGAGATGTTGTAAAACGGATAGTTCCGGTCTTAAAACCTGATTGGCTGAGCCGCGTTCAAATCCATTGTAAAATCCACGATATACCCGCACCTATGACCCCCTCACAGCGACTGTATCGTTACTGCGCCACGGCACGAAAAAAACCCTTGTGCTGTTAATGGAATAATCTTGAACTCTAATGCTGCTCACATGGACCACCGAGTATATTGATGAAGTAAGAAACGGGTTCTTTTTTAGTTTGAACTAAGGGGCTGGCGACTTATGATGTTAACTAAAACTAGGTGGGTCATCTAGCTAACAGGCTCAGAGATAGCTAACAGCCTAAACAACTCCATTATAAATAACACAGGCTTGAATTAATGTACATAGAGTACGAGTAACTGTAAAACGACAGTATAAAATCTAAAAATAACACGCTTCAAATGTTCGTGTTTCAGTCAGAAGTAGCGTCAAGCCCAGGCTGAATCCCAAACGACTCCGTACTCCCTAAACAGTGTGCTAGCTATGGAAGTTTAGAAATTCTAGCATCTACAGCCAGATTGTGCATCATTTATCTAGTGTGTCTGTGTCCCAAATGGCTCTTTTTTTTTAGCACCGTTGTGGGTCAGGATCGGGTATTTAAATTCCTACGTAGCGAGTGCACCAGCTATCTAGGGAGCAGGGAGCCATTTGGGATTCAGCCACAGCACGAGAAGAGGAAGCCACTGGATTAGTGCTAAATAATCGCGGTGGTAGTTTGGTGACAAAAAATACTTACAAAGCGAAAGTTTTGGCATTACACAGTGTTGTGTTATCATATGTTCATTGTTAAAAGACAAAAAGTTTAAGAATTCATAAAATAGCCGCAATACACAGCGATAGGCGACCGAGCGTTCTCCTCATTCAGCGGTGCGTGGTTGCTTGGCAACGATACCATACTCTAAAGGAACTACATTTCTTTGCGGAATAATTGTTTATGTCGATAATCATTAATAATAACATTATTTTCTGAAAAATTGTGTATTTTATCATATTTTATGTTGGCTGCCGTTTTATAAACGCAATAAGCCACTTGAGGCCATACGTTACTGTGATTTTATCACAGGGAAGGGAGTTTTCCCGTGATAAAATCGCAGTAGCGCAGCCTCGTGGCTCATTGCTTTATTAGAAAACAACAGAAGATTTAGCCCTGTTAGTCACTGTAATGCACGGCTTTGCTTTTATAGAACAGCAAAGCACTATTGTTAAAATGCACCAGTGTTCTTCTGCTTCTGTAGTTGGTTCACAGTAAACTATGGTTGCCATGCGATGTATGCTTTTAATAACTTGGCACATAGTTTTATGCAAAAGTTTGAACACCACTGGTCAGATGCCATTTTGTTGATTTTCTAAGTGAAAATGAGTGAACACAGGAACAGACTTTAATATGATATTTTTCTTCAATTTTTTTGTTTGTAACACAATGGGGGAGGGAAAGATATTAAATGTTATTTAACTGGGGGTGCCCAAACATTTGCATGCATGCATACATACATACATCATCTAAACCACTTATCCTTCTGGGTCGCGGTGGGGTGCTGGAGCCTGTCCCAGCTGTCATTGGGCGGAAGGCAGGATACACCCTGGACAGGTTGCCAGTCCATCGCAGGGCAGACAGACAGACAGACACACACATTCACACCTAGGGGCAATTTAGCACGTCCAATTAGCCTGACTGCATGTTTTTGGACTGTGGGAGGAAACCCACGTAGACACGGGGAGAACATGCAAACTCCACACAGAAACGACCCTGGTCACCCAGCCGGGAATCGAACCCAGGCCCTTCTTGCTGTGAGGCGACAGCGCTACCCACTGCGCCACCGTGCCGCCTGTGACATGCATACAATTATACAAAATTCAGTTGAAGTATTCAGTCATCCCCTGTATGTCCAAAAACATAAAGACACCCTTTCTAATTAGTGGATTCAATTACTCTAAGTTGCACCCATTACTGACAGAGGTCACAGTTTGTGTAATCCCCTTAAAAAAGCACTGACGGCCAAGCGTCAGATAGGTGTATAAACCCCAGCATTGGACTGTGGAACAGTGGAACTGCATTCTCTGGAGAGATAGAGCTCCATCCAGTACTTTTAAGATGAGTTGGAGTGTCCAGAACTAATCATCCAACATCAGTAACTGACCTCACTAATATTCTTGTGGCTGAATGCAATCAAATCCTCACAGCGTCTAGTGTAAAGCCTTCCCAGAAGAGTAGAAGCTGTTACTGCAGAGAAGGTGAACAAACTCCTTATTAATACCTTTGAGTTCAGAAGAAACGCTGGATGAGCCGATGTGTACAAACTTGTATGTGTGTATATTATAACAGATTTCAATGCGGCTCAGTTTTAGAACTGAAACTCTTTTAATACCTTCGTCAAAGAGGTTTTACTGTAGTTCTGCTTCTGCTTTGGGCAACTTTACTTCCCTCTTGCATAAGATAAAATCCCTGTATGTAATTTGTAAAACCCAACATGAATACAACGCAAATTTGATTTGAATACTGTGCATTCCTAGGACAACTCAGCAGGGATATTACTAGCATGAACACTGATGTCTTGCACCTCCTAACCATGCCTTTAAATAATGCTGCAGTGGAAATCCCAATGGCTTTTACTCATATGATTTAAAGAAACCAGTTGCCTTGATTCTGAGTTCTCCTTATGCGACTTAAATCGGTGAAATCAATATCTCTCAACTGAGTCAAGCCAAGGAAACCTGCTGCTTTAAGGCATCTTTAAAGTAAACTTGAATTTAACTACCATACAAATGAGGTAAGACCTTCTACACATACATTTTTTTGTTTTGTTGAAGTGCATTTAGACATATTTACCTTGCCAAACCACCAGTGAACCTACACCAGTGTCCTCTGAGTCTTATATGTTACGTTGATGATGTTAAAACAGTAGTATGTCTAAAAAAAATTAAAGTTTTCTTTGGGGACTATTTTGCCTTACAACACCCTACGTGTAGCCCGCCGCCATGAATGGATTGAAATACATTTTAAGCCAAAACCTTATCACAAAAGATCATAAAACAGTGCATCAGGCATCATGTAATAACCTTCTGTGAGGGAGAATTCAGAGGCATTAAACTCATCAGACATCTGGTTCCTATCACCACCCCTGTGAACAATTCGACTCAGCACGTTTCTCTAGAACGGAGCACCAAAACCACTCTGAATGACTTTGTTTACATCTTGACTCTTTAATTATGTTGAATTTGCGAAAAATCGCTGTTGCCCTTTAATGTCAGCTGGATTGTCCCATAGGCATTAATGAGCAACAGTGTTGCCTGAATGATTACAGGCTGTGTTTGCAAGCTGAAAAAGGTAAAGCTGGTCACTTATTGTAAACTGAGTTGTCCTTTATACATTTCTGTGGGCAGCTTTTGAAATGGTCAATTAGAAGGAGTCATTTTAGCAGTGAGCCACTATGTGGTGTACAGGTGGTCTAATCAGAGCCAGAGTGAACTGAAGCCATCAGTGCCCCTCCAAGCAAAACATAGCAGCCTTAGGTTGTGTGTTCTGTAAACCCTTCATGAGCTGCTGTGAATCTTAACAGTTTGCTAACTGCCAGATGTGGGTAAACTTTACTTTTACTGTTCCATACTTAAGTGCAATTTCAAGTTTTCAAATCAGAATTACAGTCCAGCATATTTGTGAGGACAGAAATTCACTCGAGTTTTAGTTTCGTTTTAACTTTAATTTCATTTTGTTGTGTTGGATCAGCTCCTGAACTATTTTACTGTTGCTCCTACCTCTCATTTCAGAGCTTCAGCATTTTAGTTTTACTCAAAATGAACCCAAAAAGAAAAGAATACAGCCAAACAGACTTCGCTATGCTGAAAGCTAGCTGCTTTACCTCCTATTTCTACTACCATTTGAGTTATTATTTAATCAAATCATCAGTACTTTTACTGAAAAACGGTTTTAAGCTACTGTACCCACTGTTTACCTTTAAAAGGTTTTCTTACTTTTACAATTAATAAAAAAAACAGGTAGCAGTGAAAATAAATCACTATTCACTACTATACACTATCACTGTAGCTTCTATTTCCTTCCCTGTTTCTGGCTGCAGAATGTCAAAATTTTGGTGTCAAATGACAAAGCATATGGATGTAGAATGTTAAAATAATGACTGATTTTTTTCAAAATATGGACATAGTAACTTGAAATAATGACTTACTATGTCAAAATTTTGAGATATCTTGAAATGATTTATCTTCTCAAAGTTTTGACTTAATATCTTAATATAATGACATTTTCTGAAGATTCTCAAAAAAAAAAAAGCGTTATTAAGACGAGACACTATCAAAATAATGGGTTATTATAAAGTTGGTAATTCTTTTGGAATAATAGTAATTATTTAGAAATACCAAGTCAAAATGTCATAAGTTTGACACAGTAAGTCGTTGTTTCGACATACTAAGTCATTAACAGAATTATGATGTGATGCTGGCAGAAACAGAGGAAAAAAACAGATTTTTTATCTCTCCTCTTCCTTCAAGAAGAAATTCCATAAAGACATGCTTTGAACCAAACAGCATGTCCTTTGTGTGGAAATATGTTGGGAGTTTACTTTCACTTTTTGTTTGAATCAGAACAGTTACAGTCATCAAATTTCATGCTTTGCCACAGTTTATCCTCCACCTTAAAAAGACAACTACAGTTACTATAGTTTATACTCCACCTTGAAAAGACTAGTTACTATAGTTGATAATCCACCTTAAAAAGACTAGTTATTATAGTTTATACTCCACCTTAAAAAGACTGATACAGTTACTATAGGTTATCCTCCACCTTAAATAGACTGATACAGTTACTATAGGTTATCCTCCACCTTAAAAAGACTAGTTATAGTTTTATACTCCACCTTAAAAAGACTAGTTATTATAGGTTATCCTCCACCTTAAAAAGCCTGATACAGTTACCACAGTTTTACTCCACCTTCTCAGAAAAAGTTCTTTAACTACGCTATAAATGGCTTTGCGAGCGCAGAAACCGCGGAGGACAGAAAGTAACGTTGAGCTCACTGAATGTGCTAATCCGACCCCCTGATTCCACACAAACGAAAAACCTTTTGCTTTAAATCCGTGTAGAGCAAGTTTGACGACATGGTCAAGTTTTCACTTGAATTCGGATTTTTCAGCGAATCTGATGGATGAAACTACGAGCTAGGAGTTTATAAAGAAGGAGGTTTTGGTCGAAACCACTTTTTTCGTTTAGTGATTATTTACTTGTAGTGTTTTCTGTCTCTCCCGATGTGGTCATGACGTATGTTGTTGTTATTCACCCTCAGTCCGCGCTCCCCCCGCTTGGGTGCGATATGCGTTGTTGAGGTTTTTTTTTTTACTTCCCACCTATATTCCGTCAAGCCCCGCCCTTCCTGCCCTAAGATTGGCTAGTAGCCGACACTCACAAGCCAACTGCCGTTCTAGAACGCTAAAGCACCGCCCCCGTGACCTATGATTGGCTCTGGGATCGGCTATGAGCGCTTCATACTCGAGGCGTTCTAGAACGGCGTTGTGTTTGTGAGTAAGGGATGCTAGCCAATCGTAGCGCGGGAGGGCGGGATTCTAAGACAAGTCTAGCGCAAGGGGGCGGGGCTTCGCATCCAAGAACGGCTTGAGAGTACGAAGAACTCGCCAATCCAAGTGTGGAAAGGCGCGGCGAGTCGGAATATGGGTGGAAAAACAAAATCGGGAAAAGGAAAAAAACGCGCGATAAGCAGGAGAACTGGGAGGAGCCGCAGCTGCTGTCTCACCCCTCCTCCTCCTCCTCCTCCTCCTCTTCGCATGATCTTTGAAGGGAGAAATGAAAAAATAACGGAGTGAGAGCTGCACGCACGGAGGAGGGCGTCGTATGTTTTTGTAGCCACACGCACAGACGGAGCTCAAAAAGGAGGAAGAGAGGAGGAGAGAAAAAGAGGAGGAGATCGAGCCATAAAAGCGTCAAAAAAGGAGGAAAATAAACGAGAGCCAGGGAGACGAGACCCAGGGGGGTGCCCTTTTTCACTCCGCATCGGCAGCGCTGGTCCGGGATGGGCCGCGGCCGGGCTGGGGGACAGTGGGACCGGCTGTGTCGAGGCGGGGCTCCGCCGTGAAGACTCCCCGGTGCTGATTAAAAACAGCGAACAAAGGCTCCGCGCGCTGCGGGAAAAAACAACACTGCGATGCCGTTTGACGACCGGATCAGCGCCTCATCCGCAACGAGCATCTAGAGCCCCGCTGCAGGCAGGCGATGGGTGAGTGAGGGGGGCGTTTGAGGGGCTTTAGGGGGCGGCTGGAGGGGGCCAGAGAGGCAGCGCGCGCGGTGTAAACCTGCTCGGGTTCGCTGCTTGCAGTTGTGGAGGGGAACGATGTGAAGGGCTTAAACAGAGCCATGATGACAGTCAGCATCAGCGCACAGCAGTCTGGTTAGCACCTGCATTTGAGGCAAGGTTAACATTATTATTGCTGTTATTATAAAAAGAAATGAGAGAAATTTGGGTAGTAATAATAGTAATACTAGTATTGGCTTTAGGTCTATTCTTATCACAGAGTTAATGTTATTATCATTATTATTATTAGTGGTAGTATTAGTATTAGTATTATTACGTTAAGCCTACCGTGGCTGTGTCTCAGGCTGAACCACATTATTGCAGTTTTTTGGAAATCTTCCAGAGGCGTCCAGGTTTCCTGAGGTCACGCGATGAAATTTTCATGTCAGAGTAGAGATTTGCTCTTGATGAAAGCCTAAGTACCCACTTGCTGCTAAGGCTGGAACTTACCTCCAAATCCCACCTTTCTGTAGAACCATTTCAGTTATATGACACTTTCTCTCCAAAGTTTAACCCCTTAAACTGCAAGACTCTGTATGTGGGCCTACATGTCAGTTCGTCCCTCTCATTGCTACTAAAGATGGCACAATCTTTTCCCATGCCGATACTGAAGCCCTGAGTTTCAACGATACTGATCTGATATTTGTTCTTTAAAAATACTAAGATTTAAAATCAGCTATTTTTAATTGAAGTGCTTAAGACGAGCGTCTAAAAGTAGTCTGTCATGCTGAAACTACTCAGCCTGTCAACCCCACAGAAAGAACCACGCAGACAACAACACCACATCATACAGTGTGAGTAACTGCTGTTTCAGGACAGGTTTGTTACAGGATTGGATCACATTCATTATTTTCTTCTAATTGATATCTAGGGATGTAGCGATACACTCAGCCCTGATTAGATTCGATTCACGATACTCGGTCCACGATTCAGGATTCTTGCTATGTTTTGAACAAAATTTGATTGAAGGAACTTATGACTATGTTCATGTTTTTGCACAATTTTCTGGTAACACTAATCTTGGAGTTAGGAGGAGTGCTGGAGTTAGGTGATGATTGGTGATGATCGCTTAAAAACTTGGGTGTTTAACCAGTGCGTTTGCATTAGATGGCATAATTAATAAAATGTCCATTCTCCACAATGCTTTGTCACACCTTTACGGTGCGTATTGTCACAGTTTTGTATTGCAGTATCATGATTTCACATGCATTGTTACATCCCTATTGATATCCAGGGCAGCGCTTTCTGCTGGTATCAGCACACATTGATACTACCTACATGCCATCTCTAATTAGTACAGAACTTACATAATAGTTTCTTAATAGTTACTGAGTAGTAGAGCTGGGACCACTTAACAATTTATCAATAATTATCAATAACAGCTTGATTGATAGGTAGAGTTCATTATTTCTTTCTTTTTTGAATAATTGAGTGCACTCTGATCCGATCAGAGCTGAAACGCTCCTTAGAACTTCAGTATGAATGGGTAGGGCTAAACTGCTGTGGGAGAGATATATGTAAATAGGTTCTTGTAATATAAATAGATTTATGTACATTGGTTTTTGTGGCAGTTCATTGAAAAGGATCTGTTTTTGCAGCCATATTTGGACCATAAGGACTGGCTGGTATTGAATGGTGAAACATTATCAGTGTTAACATATTACTTCAAACTCCTTATTTAAAAAAAAAAAAGTGGAGGGACATTTGGTTTTCCATGATATTGGCCTTTTAAATGAATATCAATATTGATAATTATAAACAATTTTGTCCTAATGTCTATTTTTTTCAATATTATTCAATATTCAATATAAGATTAATAACTGAAGAAAAAAGCTGTATTCTAAGGGGTCATTGGCACACCAAACAACACACAGGTTGAAGGTTTGGAGCAGTTTCGTTACGTGTTGGTAATGCTCCTGTGCCGTCAGCCTGTAGAGTTAACTTGAGGAATTGCAGTATGAAGCTTGCTGTGATGGGAAAGGCAAATGTGATTACAGGTAGGACTGCACAATACCTTTTTATGTTAGTTATCATTAAACCATGCAAATGACTCCTCTACTCCTGTAACAAGTTTCTAGTGCTTTGAGCATCCAGACCAACCTCCTCCAATCTAGATGACTTTCTGTGGGTGGATAAATCAAGGCAATCACATCACCCTAACATAAGTAGCCTAATTTTGGTCAGAAAAAGGCAGGCTGAGCTTTAATCATGGAACATTAAGGGTTTTGCCAGTGTGTTTTCAGTATGTTCCAAGGCATTTGCAACTGCAGTGTGTACACTACTGTGCAAAATTCAGAGACAGTTACAGTTTAATCATCCATTAAGTACAAGTTATTTATTTCCACTACAGGCCTCGAATATGTTTGGGGTTATTTGGATCATGAGGAGCAGAAAATGCAACTTCGAAGACTGAACTTTGGAGGTGTGGAAAAACATTCCTGCCGATTTCTGTGAAAAACTGAAAGCAAGTCTCCTAAAAAGACACACTAAATACTGAATATATCATATTTAGTTTTTGAGGCTTTTGTGTAATTTATGTAACGTTCTATTTCCTGTATCCTCTCTTTGCACTTGAAATTTAATAACTTGTGGTGACTGTTGTGACTGGAAATGAAATCAATGTAGGGTAGCCTTTGACTTTTGCATAGTACTGTGGATATATTTGACCACTTTACTGCCTTTATAGGATCAGATAACCATGCAGAGTAGATTCAGTAACCATACCTGGTGTATGAAAATCGACATAGGCCTAGAAAAGATACTTTCTGTTGTGACAAACAATGAGCTACCAGCCACATGACTTACATCATGTCGGGAAAAATAAAATCACCACAACTGCACACAATTAGCATGTTTGCTTAGAAATAGTTTTTTGTCTTTGTATTTGGAATGATCGTTAGCCTCCAGATGGGCCAGAGTCACACACACAGGACGGTCTTTAGAAGCTATGCTGCAGGGATTTTGTAGAGTAGGCAAATTTAGTGGATGCATTTGTTTTTACATATGTTCTAGTGGGTACATATGCTTTTTTCTGTAATGTGCACAGTGCCAGTTTCTGGCTGCGATCTTGTTTTTCAGGTTAAAAGAATGGTAAGAATGGTCAAGCACTGCAAAATGTAACCCTATGCTAATTTTCTTTAGTCTACATATTCAGCACAATAGGTCTACCATGAATAATGCCACTGACTGTATAATTATCATGCTAAAGTAAGTTGAATGCAAAGAAATTAAAGATGCCGTTGCTTCAGGCAGTTTTCAGTACTTCAGTGGAAGTCCGTTTTAAAGTAATTTCTTATTATTCCCAAACAGCATGAGTCTCAAAATGGCCTCAAAACGGCATCTCAGACAACATGCGCTATTAATGGAAATGTTGTTGTCATTATAAAGGAAATGCTGGTTTGATTCAGGGAACAAGCTTGTCAGTGATATATGACACAATGTGGTTGTGCCAAGAGTGGTAATGCTAAGCCTTCTGCACAGTTGCTAACTTTCAGAAATGCAATTAGATGAGAGCGCTGAAATAAACACATTTCTGTTGAGTTTTGACATTTTTATGATTACACTGCATGTTATGGAGGGAGTTTATTCAAAAAGCTAGCTGTGAAATGATTGATGGTCCTAAAATTGTCATTTCTGCCTACCGTGTCTTGCCGTAATTAGCTGATTAATTGGATCAGGTGCGCTGACGCCAGGAAGACATCAAAGCAGTGGGGGTACCCTGATCTTGTATGTATGGACAATTCTAATTGCTTCACAAAAAACAAAAAAAGCCAGCTGGACGATTTAATGAGCCTTATATATATATATATATATATATACACACCAATCAGGCATAACATTATGACCTCTTAGTTTCTATGCTCATTGTCCAGTTTATCAGCTCCACTTACTATATAGGTACTATATAGGTTACTATATAGGTACTATTTGGGTGGTGGATCATTCTCAGCACTGCAGTAACACTGACATGGTGGTGGTGTGTTAGTGTGTGTTGTGCTGGTACGAGTGGATCAGACACAGCAGTGCTGCTGGAGTTTTTAAACACTGTGTCCACTCGCTGTCCACTCTATTAGACACTCCTACCTTGTCAGTCCACCTTGTAGATGTAAAGTCAGAGACGATAGCTCATCTGCTGCTGCACATTTTGTGTTGGTCATCCTCTAGTCCTTCATCAGTGCTCACAGGACGCTGTTGGCTGGATATTTTTGGTTGGTGGACTATTCTCAGTCCAGTAGTGACACTGAGGTGTTTAAAAACTCCAGCAGCACATTTGAAGTTTGCAGAGAAACAGATGGACTACAGTCTGTAATTGTAGAACTACAAAGTGCACCTATATAGTAAGTGGAGCTGATAAAATGGTCAATAAGCGTAGAAACAAGGAGGTGGTCATAATGTTATGCCCGATCAGGATATATATATTTATAACTTGTGTGTGTATATATATATATATATATATATATATATATATATATATATATATATATATATATATGTCTAACTTACACTGGCACATTTCTAGTACCTTTTATTAGTCAAAGTTACAATAACATTGTTTGCTCTTATATCAGCCAAACTGGCATTTAAAAATTGTGGTTGAAAAGTAGCTTAGTTATATAATATGGATCAGATAAAATGCTATCTGGACTGTAAGAGCCAACATATTTAGCATGCACCATGCATAATTATGCTACAGTGTTTTGGTATCAGCGTAGCAGCAACATTCAAATAATAGGCTGGAAATTGGTTTGATTTCCATTCTGGGTGCCAGGATGTGATTATAAAACAATTCTCAAATGAGTTTTGATTTGTGTATCCTACTCTGTGATTTTTTTCTCCTGTATTTGTTGTACAAAGCAGTGTTATCTTAGTAGCCACTTTATTAGAAACACCTACCTTATAGGCCACCTATATAGCATTACAGTTAG